TAAAGTACCGGGTTAATAAGATTACTAACACTACATATCCATTGTTTGGCAAATCAACATTGGTGAAAAGATATACAATGTAATTCTGAACTTTTAAATGTTTCTCCTGTTTAAACTAATTTAAAGATTTATTATTGAAAAGTTTGTTTCAGAAAGGAGATATTGAGATGTCTTGCGCTATTTCCGAGTCCTTTGTCAACTTTTGAAATTTTAGTATCAATATTAACCGACAATTCCAGATAATCCAAAGATTGGTATATATGGAAAGTGGAAAACTGCCAATAGTTATCTATCACTTTGAACACGAAACGATAAAATATGTAAAGTATTTTGAATAAGAGTTACTCAGTAATTTAGATCTTTAGAAATAAAGAATCTTTAAAATGTGTAGGGTTTATTCAAATGATGTTTTAGAGAAAAATAAGGGTTACTCAGTAATTTCGATCTTTAGAAATAAAGAATCTTTAAAATTTGTAGGTTTTATTCAAATGCTGTTTTAGAGATTATTGTTCTTATCTTTACACCAAGTAGTTTGAACAAATTACAATATACTTTATAGACCATTAAGGTGAAATATTGCAAAAAGTGTCACAATTTCGATTTTTTCACTGTTTCAAAAGACCGAAATGTTACTGTGACGCACTTTAAAAAAAACGCAATCGCTATTCTTTATATTTTAGCACCACATTGTTTTCTATTCTTTTTTTTTTTTTGCCGATTTTTCTCAATTCCTTAATTTTTGGATCCATTTTTCTGTACTCTATCCATTATTTTCTATTCTGTAAACCCCATCCACCCACGAGTGACACAAAATCAGTACATGCACAGTAAAAAACAAACAAAAACATATGTGTACGATTTGGAGTTGTGATTAATCCCTTTATTCAAATTGAAAGTAATTCTAGAGGTAGTTGATTTAGAAACTTAACGTCGTGTTACATATACCCAGTGGGGGCCTCGGTGGCCTAGTCTAAGTATTTCATCTACTGTATCGATAGACTGTCAACACTGAGGTTGTGAGTTCGAACCCCACAGATGCGTTGATATCAGAAAATAAGGAAAAAATAGTAAAACGGCGCCTCATACATGTGTTCTTACTATAGTAAATATTCTTTTTTTTTTTATATAAAAAAACGATTCCCTAATATAGAAAAATTGAATTTTTAAATCGATTTCCTGATATCAAAAAATTGAATTTTTGATATTAGAAAATAATTTTTTGATATCAGAAAATAAGGAATAAATAGTAAAACGGCGCCTCATACATGTGTTCTTACTATAGTAAGTATATTTGTATATATTAATCCTTTCGCGAAAGGAAAGAAGCGTAATCAGGTCAAAGAAAAAATCAAAGAGAGTAGATTAACTATACAATCACAATTTCAAAATAATCCAAATATCTAAATACATTGTTAAATAAATGAATAGAAAATATCAAATTGCAGGTTTTGTTTTGTTTACACGCGGATTAATCACATAACTAAGATTAACTTTGACTTGTATAGTTTGAACTTTTAAATAAACTTGCTCGTATAAGTAAACAATCAGTTTTTACACTCGCAGTGGACGTCACTAGCACGTTGTCTGTGACGAAGAACTGGAGCATGTTTACAAACAATTTTTGTTCTGAAAAAATGAAAAGAACACTCTATCAATTTTGTGCGTTCGAAGCGCTTTTCTGGATTTACTTCCATCAGGCACGCTTCAAGCCAAAAAGTCAACAACGTTTAAGTTCCGAAATACGTGAAGCGCTAAATGACCAAAAGGGACCTAAAATAATACCTAAATCCATCAAAGGTCAACTTTGCCTGAGGAAATTAAAACCTTAGTTTCTCAATAATTTCTTTATTTATAAACAGACAATTTTATGAAATGTATATTATAAACCATGTAATTACTGAAACACTGACTACTGAGCTGATGATACCATCTGGGACTTAGTCCATCTGCAGGGGTATCTACCCAGTGCTATAAATGTGAAAATAACCCTTTAAAAATTTCATGCGTTCGAAGCGATTTTCTGGATTTACCGTAATCAATGATTAAGTGTAGAGCTAAATGATCAAAAGGAACCTAAAATAATAACTATTTCATCCTAAGGTCAACTTTGTCTAAGGGAATTGGAACCTTTTATATAGTTCCCCGATAATTTCTGAATTTATAAACGGAAAATATAAGAAAGGTATGTTATAAATTATGGCAGAACCGAAGCACGAACTACTGAGCTGATGATACCATCGAGGACCAAAATTGCACCAGCAGCGATTTCTATCCAATGCTATAAAACAAATGAAAATAACATTAATCAAGTCGTTTTAAATTTCATGCGTCCGAAGCTCTTTTCTGAATTTACATTCATTAGTCACGTTCAAAGCCAAATATTTGAAAACCAAGAATGCATATGTACCGAAAGACGTGAAGAGTTATATGGTCAAAAGGGACTTCAAAATAATAGCCAGATTCATCTAAGGTCAACTTTGCCTTAGGGACTTGGAACGTAAGTGTCTCAATAATTCCTTTTTTCAGTCGATTGATACTGTGGTCAACCAGATATTTCGCCTTTCCTTCTCTGGTTTCCATGCCTATGTCTTTCACATAGAAAGGGCATTCTGTTTAATTTTTAGCTCACCTGGCCTTAAAGGCCAAGTGAGCTTTTCTCATCACTTGGCGTCCGTCGTCGTTAACTTTTACAAAAATCTTCTCCTCTGAAACTACTGGACCAAATTTAACCAAACTTGGCCATAATCATCATTGGGGTATCTATGTTTAAAAACTGTGTCCGATGACCCGGCCCGCCAACCAAGATGGCCACCATGGCTAAAAATAGAACATAGGGGTAAAATGTAGATTTTGGCTTATATCTCTGAAACCAAATCATTTAGAGCAAATCTGACAAGCAGTAAAATGGTTTATCAGGTCAAGATCTATCTGCCCTGAAATTTTCAGACAAATCAGACAACCCATTGTTAGGTTGCTGCCCATGAATTGGTAATTTTAAGAAAATTTTGCAGGTTTTGGTTATTATCTTCAATATTATTATAGATAGAGATAAACTGTAAACAGCAATAATGTACAGCAAAGTAAGATCTACAAATAAGTCAACATGACCAAAATGGTCAATTGACCCCTTAAGGAGTTATTGCCCTTTATAGTCATTTTTTAACAATTTTTTGTAAATTTTTGTAATCTTTTACAAAAATCTTCTCCTCTAAAACTACTGAAACAAATTTAACCAAACTTATACACAATCATCATTAGGGTATCTTGTTTAAAAAATGTGTCCGATGACCCCGCTTACCAACCAACATGGCCGACATGGCTAAAAATAGAACATAGGGGTAAAATGCAAGTTTTGTCTATTATTTTTTGAACCGTTATAAATGGAGAAAATCTGAAAGGAAGCAAAAATGTTCAGAATAATGAGCTCTACCAATTGACCATATACTTCAAAACTGTTAGACAAATTCTTATAGGAGTTATTGCCCATAAATGACAAATTTTACCATTTTTTCATTTTTGCCTATTATCATGAAAACTATGATATTAAGAGAGAAACATTTTTTTTCCGTTATGCCTTATATGATTTAAATTATAATAGATAAATAAACACTTTAAATCACAAAAATGATCAGCAAGGCAAGATCTATCAAAAAGTCAAATTTTGGCGATATTATATAGTTAGTAGACTGTCACTCTTCATAGGAGTGATTGCCCTTAAATGAGGATTTTTTTACCCTCTTTTGTGTTTTGAGCAAAAACTAAAGAAGATAGAGAGAAACTAAACAGACTAAAAGATCAGTAATACAAGATCAACAAAATAGAGATTTTTGTCATGAAGTCTATTCTCGTCTACAATGTTGGAGAGTGTCCTTTGTTTGATATACACATAGACCAAGGTGAACAACACAGGCTCTTTAGAGCCTCTAGTTATCTTCTTAGTAGGTTGAACCAAAAATGTATACATATGTGCTATTCTAATCTGCAATACTTTTAAGATAAAAATGAAACAAAACAAATGTACGAAACTCCATGGCCATTCATGAGTACACATTCTCTAGAAAAGGCTGTTATATAACAATATGTAGATTAGATAATTCACAATTCTTGTTCGATGTTCTTATAAAGGCAACATATTTTTTTTCTTTAGCATGTTCTTAATTGCAGATTAAAAAATTATTAGTAACTCAAGTGTTTTCGATTTTCCAAAAGGGTTTTATTTACAAATGTGTCCAGTCAGTTCTAATGAACTATTGGTCAGTTTAATAGTAACGAGGACAAAAACTCTTAATATCATTGGCCATATATTGATGTGACTTATCCTCACTGATGAAACACCAACTTCTTATTTTTCTTTTCCATGCATGATTTTGACCGTTTGAACTTTTTATGTTTTTATTCGTTGTATGTGAACATGTTTAAATTTATTATTAATACTTTTATCATCAGCATCAACATTATCGTTATTTTAAGTTTATACCCCGTATGTCAATACATAAAATAAATAATGTTTATTTCAAGACGATTCTAGCACACATGAAAACATCATCAATCCTTAACTTGGTGCACCCAACAATTATTTATTTTATATATTCATCAGCTGCCAAAGGTTTTGCAAGCCAAATATTGACAAGTAAAACAAGTAAATATGATCCGCTGTTGAAATTTCTGAACCTAGAACAAGATCATGATGACGTCTCGACAAAACTATTCTTTCAGTCATTCTAGTGAAGTTTTTCTCGTTTACAATCAATTCAAAAAATGCTAATTTATAAGTTAAGAAATTTTATTTCACATTAAAAAGGTGGTGTATCCTAACAAAAAGGTCAAAAAGTTAAAGTACAACATTAAAAAGAACCTATATATTATTAAGTGCATACAATTTAAATTCCCAGCTACTCTGACATTATGAAAATGTAGTCGTTGAAAATTAAAAGTTTTATATATATTTTTCGGTAGGTTGACTTATTGATCATTTTTGTATGCATCGTTTCATTCAATATTCTTCATCCGTTGTCAGTGTAAATAACACGTGAAGCAGAATGGCGGCTTATTATCATGAGGTAACATTACTTAATCCATATACACGTCAACTAATCCATTCATTATCTAATTAACTTGTCATCATTTATCATTAAAATCTATTTAATTATCTAAAATATTTATGATTTAATTAAACTTAAAACTGATGTTAAGGAATTGCTGCATTAACGGTATCCAATGTAAACAGTTAACAGCTTCAGATCAATATCGTTATGTTTATGTTATACCATTGCTTATTTACGGATAAAGTACTCTTTTGTTTTGATTGATAAAAATGATGTGTTTCTGCAAAATACTAGTTCATGAACATCCTTAAAATCACAAACCATGCATTAAACCCGGATTATAAATGTCCATAGCAGTTTATTTACTGTAGTGTTACAAATAGAATTCCTAGAGTTCTAACATCTATTGAATATAAAAAAAACATCAGAAACTGAAACATTTTTCTATCTATGTCATCTATCTTTTCTTTTAAATTTTGTGGTTTTCAAATTACATCAGGCAAAGTTGACCTTAGATGGATTTGGCTATTTGTTAGGTCCTTTTTTTTTATATAGCTCTTCACTTTGAACTGTTTAGGTTCTTATACATTCTTGGTTTTCAAATATTCGACTTTAAGCGTTCCTGATGAAGGTAAATCCAGAAAAGCGCTTCAGACGCATGAAATTTATAGCGTGTTTTTTTTTTTGGTCATTGTTATGATTAGAAGCTACGCAATGTGACCAGCGTTGAATCCAAAACACATCAACAACAAACAATGAAATTTCAGTCGCATGCATTACATGGATATGAAGTGATTGTAGCACAGCATCATACAAAATAACAGATTCTAATATATATAGAATAAAGGGAAGGTTTAACATTCAGTGGGTAACTTATCACCAACATGTTAATGTAATATGAATATGAGCTTCATTTGTTTGTGCTAGACAAATGCGTGAAGATTTTACGTTCTAGTTCACGAGGTGAAATTTCACAAGAAGACTTGTCACAACTCACACTATTCGGACTCCGAGACAATATGCCTTTTCCTGTTACTCCTAAATACGGTTTGCGTGGCGCAGAACCGGCAAATGGCAAATGTGTGTCTTCGGATGAAGACTCTACGGTGGATCTAATCTACAACCTTTGCACTCGGCGAGTCGATCACACGAATGCCATTCGGTTCCTTATGTTTTATAATGGAATATTCAGTTATATAAAAAATATTCAATTTTTTTGTTAAATTTGATGGATCATATGACTTTAAAGCGTGTTTAACGACTTCAACATATATAAATAGTGTAGTATATTTAGTTCAAATTATCAATGTAAACTGGAAACATTTTAATTTGTTTCAGGGCACAGTCAAGGGGAAAGGAGAAAGTGATTTCACGGATGGGGATAAAGAAAAAATATCAGAACGTTTAAGGAAAGCTATGAAAGGACTGGGTAGGTGAATCTCGAGTGGCATGCCATAGTACATAGAAGAGGGGGTTCTAAATATTGCGAAGGTCTATCATAGTAATTCACTGTTGTATAATGCCTTAATACCCGAAAGTTTCCAAAATATATGGACATTGTTTTTAATGTTCATTTGTTATTTCACATTTCATTCTTGAAATGTTCTAATTTCAGGGCCTTTTACAGTTGACTATATGCGGTATGGGTTTTGCTCATTGTTGAAGGCCGTGCGGTGAGCTATAGTTGTTAATTTCTGTGTCATTTGGTCTCTTGTGGAGAGTTGTTTCATTGGCAATCATACCACATCTTCTTATTTTTATATAAAGTCGTTATTCTCGTTATTTATTGATGTTTACCAGAACTTGCAGTTGTTCAGGAGGATGATCTTACTCGCGTTGTTGTTCGGCGACCGAAAATATATGTGATAACCTCATCTAAGAACTTATGAAAAAAACTACAAGGTTCCAACTCCCTTAGTCAAAGTTGACTCTAAATGAATTTGGCTATTTTTGAAGATTTGGTCAGATGCAAAGTAAACTTTTCTTCGTATTTATACATCACTGACCTTCAAATGTGTGCGCTTTGACCGCTCATGATGAAAATGAATCCATAAAAGCGGCACGGGACGCATGACGCTCATACATTTTTTTTTTCATTGCAAATGATATTGTTAAATTCGAATGCTGGTACAATTAAAACAACTTAAAACACAAAAACTTTCCCCCAGGCATATTTACATTATACTTTTTTCTTGCTATAGGTACAGATGAAAAAGTGATAATTGAAGCTTTGTCTTCACATACCAACACACAATTACAGAGTGTTAAGTCTACTTATAAGACATTATATGGAAGGGTAAATATTTTTTTTTAAATATGTAGCGCAATACGACAGTTAAAGAGGAAAGCTTATGAAACTTTGCAAGGTTATTCAAATAAAAGATAACAGTTTTGAAAATAAACATACATATACGATCAATTTTTCAATTTCAATATTTTCTTTAATGAAATTGTGTTTTTCTTAAATATATTGGTTTCTCCTAATTCATTTGAAAGCATTATTTCGGAGCACATATATGAAGCTATGAGCGGTCGGGACAGGGGTACCCTTCTCCAACCTCCCGCCCGCTATCTCCCACCTCCCACTTTAAGAATCTTTTTTTCTCTCCCACCTATTTTTTGTCTCCCACCTCCCGCCCCCACCTCCCACCTCCCTCAAAAGCTGTCCACCCCATCAGCTATAATAAAATGCCTATTTAGATAATAAGGTAGTTAAAGCGAATGAATGGCGAAGTCCTCCCTTTTCATCCTAATCTTATATTATACAGTTATATGAAACTTGCTCAGTTCGCCTCTGCATTGATTCCATACAAAATATCTGCATTGTAGGACTTAGAAGAGGATTTGAGAAGTGAGCTTTCAGGGCATTTTGAAAGCTTATGTATTTATAGATTAACACCGTCCAGTGAATTTGATGCCAAATGTCTTCGTAAAGCCATGAAGGTAAGATATACCATGCAAACCTGTGATTTACACATATCAATATTGACAAAATGTTCCAACTTTGGGTAAATAACCTTTCAAGATAAAATCACATTTCGTGCATTTATTAGGCGAACTTGATCAAATCCTGAAATGAAGACCCTTTTTACTGCACTTCGGTTATTTGATCAAAGGAGACCAAAAAAGGAGATTATGGAATCGTTTGACTGGATTAGAAATATATAGAGTTGTAAGTTTAACCATAGCATGCACCAAATGCGGTCTCGAAAATAAAAAAATAATAATAAAAAATGATAAATTTAAGCTATTATTAGTTTCACGCCTTGTTAGTGGCACAGTTTACTTGAATAAATGCAAATACATGTTCCTCTCTAGTGAAGGAAATTCGATATTTCTGTATATTAGGTATATAGATGTATAAAAGAATTGGCATATATCTTTTACACGGAGATTATATGGATCTACACCTTCAGTCAGTGCCTTTCATTATTTTGTTTTGCATAGTTAACATGTAAAACCATTGCCTTTTAATTATTTCATCTTTAACTATTAAAATTACATACAGGCGAGACATGTCTTTGTGTCACCAGTTTATTTTTATATGTGACATCACCCTCTGAATATGTAATTTTTTTGCATATCTGATAAAAGTGATTATTCCTTGCACGACATAATCATCGTATAAAACTTCTTGTTATTTGTTTTGCAGGGTATTGGTACAAAGGAGGTGACATTGGTCGAAATTCTATGTTCACATAATAACTCTGAAATTAAAGACATCAAAGAAGACTACAAGAAAGGTAAGTCAGACATTTTATTATTGTTGGTGTTTTTTGTCAAGGATTTCTCATAGATTTTGATCCTCACTTTAAATAACGTGCATACAATGGACAACGAACACTAAAGATTGAACACCTAAAACTTTTTTTCTCAACAAAGTGATAAAAAAATACAGAAAAGATATACCATATCTTACGCTGCTTAAAGCACTTGTTGCTTACGACATTGATTCAAACTTTTTTTGAATTTTAAGAATTTTTCTTAGTTCCTAGATATTCAGAAGTATCTCAATAATGTTTTTACTATTCCAGTTTATGACCGGGATCTAGAAGGAGATATTAAAGATGAGACTAGTGGGGATTTCCAACGTATATTGGTGTCATTACTGCAGGGAAACAGGGACGAGAACCAAACTGTTGATCAAAAACAAGTAGAAGATGATGTTAAGGAACTAAAACAGGTATTCTGTAATAAACAATTCGGGGCAAAATAAACTCATACAGATGCATGAAAAAAGTACTGCGAACTTTTGTTTTCAAACAGCCAGCCAAGACATACCTATCCAAATCACTTCAAGTCAAAAGTTACAGCTGCTCTTTTCACAAAAAATCTTAAAGAGTAAAAATACTCGTAAGTCATACACATTTAAGTATAACAAAATATTTATAATGAAAGAAAGGTGAAGAAAAAAACGAAAAAATAGAAAATCCTTTATACTTATGGTCATAAAGCTCCCACCGTTTCTACGTGTTTGTACACCCCTGGCTTTCAAATGTTTAGGTTTGAGCGTTCTCGATGAATGTCAATCCAGAAAAGCTCTTAGGACGCACGACATTTATTTATTGTTATCTTCCTTACTCAATTGTCTCTTCATGAAAAGAAGAAAAGAACATTTAACTAATTCCACCATAACAATATCAGGGCGCTCCTCCCTCCTCCCCCGAAAAGGGACAAGAAGAAAAGTACCTCTTAAAAGGATATAAAGCAGATATATCTTAGAATATTAATAGTAAAACAAACAATAAAATATAAAATGAAACTATGGTGCACAGAAAACACTCAAAATAATGATGGTTTTGCAGTACAATGTAACGTCTTTTTATGAAAGTGAACAGAGTGACCTAGCTGAGACATCTTATATTTGGAAAACTTAATGTAACTCCGAAAACCCATATGAATGAATCATTATTCAGACAGATCACTCAGTCCAAGTCTTTAACTTACATTACAGGCTGGTACTAAACTTATGTTTGGAACCGACGAATCTGTGTTCAACAAAATATTAGCAAAAAGAAGTTTGTCACATTTGAAGGCTGTTTTTGAAGCTTACAGATCTGATGAACAGAAAGATATAGAAACTGTAGTAGCAGACGAGATGAGTGGAGATTTGTGCAAAGCTTTTCTTGCTGTTGGTTAGTTTTTTGTTAAATATATCGTTCAGAAAGGACTATTTACAGTAAAATTAAAATTAAGTACAAGTTAGTAAAGAATGTGTTTAATACATTCAATGTTTAATTTGAACAAGATTTTATATCACCGTTTCAACATGTCGACAGTAATATCATTTAGCCTGTAGATAACAGTTGTCCTTATACACTTTCTTTTCATGGATAATGTAAAAATAAAAAGATGTTAGATTGCCAATGAGACACCTATCCATTTGAGACCAACTTAACTATTTTGTCCATGATTATGACGAATCTCCAATTTCAAACTTCTTCCACCACTGATATCATCATAGAAAACCAGTAGATGTAGCTATAAAACATTTTTGATGGATTTAAACACATTCAGATGTGTTCAAAAGAATATATATTTCATTCTTTTAATTCTTTCAATGAGATTAATCGATACTAAATACAAATGCAATGGTTGCACATTTGAACCAAAATAGATCTTCATCCTTTTCCTAAACAAAAGTCGAAAAAAATATTGAAAAAGCAGATTTAAAACCTTAACAAAAATAAGAGCTATGCATAGAGGAGATGAGTCTGAATTTGCAAATGAATTGTTCAACAATAAATGCATATTAGCAGACATGCGAAACAACATTCATATACGTCGACTCTGCAAATTTCTTTACAATATCCATATTTTCACCAGACACCAAGTAAAGAGATCCTGCATTGACAATGCTCTCGAGACATTTGTTTAGGACTAAAGGTGCCCTCGAGCATAACATTAAATTGTAAATATTTGAATGTAATTGGATTGACCTTTATGAAATATATGTCACAGACGACCACGGGTATGTTCTAAATGTCTTGGTCATTCTCTCGCTCGCCCTTTTCCTCTCGATTGCGACTCAACACCAAATGTGTACTAACCATGAGCAACACGAAGGGTGCCACATATGGAGCTGGATATGCTTACCCTTCCGGAGCACCTGGTATCACCCCAATTTGTGTTGGGGTCCATGTCGCCCAGTCTTTTTCTGTAATGTTTTGTAGACTTGGTAGTTCTTTTCGTCGTTTTTCGTTTTTTGCCACGATTTTGTTGGTCTTTCGTTTGACTTGTGAGTCGAGATTCCACCTTTTAATCTTCCGCCCCTTTTTTGTGAATTACGACAACACCTATATTCTCTGTGATACCAGAGACCATTTTTTTTTTAAATAAATGATAATATATCTTATTTTAAATTTCAGTGAGGTTTATAAAGGATCCTCTCGAGTACTTTGCAAGTTGTTTCCACGAGACCATGTGTGGTCCAGGCACAGACGATGAACGTCTAATGCAACTAGTAGTTGCACACTGTGAGGTATTTAACAAATTATTGACATTTTCAATTTATAAAACAAAGTGTTTCGGGAAAAGTTATGCTTTATTTGTTCACTTCTCCACTAAGTACCAACTTTTGAAAGTTCAGTTCTTTGTTCAAATTAAAACTTTCTTTTTTTACTCTTGATTAAATTTTTTTTAGATTTTCCTACATGAAAATGATATTTGCAATCTGGACCTCCAAACAGGATCAAGTAAAAATTAAACATTTAACACAACAAAAACAAAACACCACATAACAACTGTGACATCTACCTTCAAAACACACATGACTTAAAAAAAATAGTTATAAAGAAATTTTTGAGAACTCCTGACTAAAATCAATTGAACAGATACAATCATTGATAGACTATCTATCCATATAACTTATTAATTACACCATTTCTGTTCAAAGGGAAATAACTCAAAATAAAAATAAATCATATAAACTGGAAATCCCATTTTCTGTTGTATAAACCAGAGACATATATACTAAATATGTTTTTATATGTCTCTATATAAACTAAGTATGACTTTTCGCTCCGTTAAGGTCTCTAACTCAACAAAAGCTAAAATCGTGATAAACGAACATGACCTTCATTTAGTCACAGGAAACAACATATCTAAATTTGAAAAGGTTTCGTCAAAGTGTTATCAAGTTATTGCACGGACAACGCTCTAAGTATCACTTTTCGCTACTGAAAGGTCTACAACTCAACAACGAGAAAGCTAAAATCGTGAAAATCGAACTTGACCTTCATTTAGTCACAGGGAAACAACATATCTAAATTTGAAAAGATTTCGTCAAAGCTTTATCAAGTTAATGCACGGACAACGCTCTAAGTATCACTTTTCGCTATTGAAAGGTCTACAACTCAACAACGATAAAAGCTAAAATCGTGAAAATCGATCTTGACCTTCATTTTGTCACAGGAAACAACATATCAAAATTTAAAATAAACGGACACTGTTTGGCAGTCGCCAGTCCGTCCGTCTGTCCGTCCGTCCGCCCGCCCGCCCGCCCGCCGTACATCCCCAAATCAATAACCGATTTTTCCTTCGTAAATCCGGTTTAAATTGAATGATTTTTTTGTAGGGTTCAAAAATGGAAAGGCCAAAATCTATCTAAGTATAACTTTTCTCTACTTAAGGTACTTTCCTCGATCTTGATATCTATATCATTAACGAGAAGCTTAATACAAAAATTTATGATAAAAGAGATGATTTTTCATTTCCTATCGTTAATTATCCATTTTTAGATGGTGACGTTCCCTTGTCACCATCTTATGGTGTTTATATATCTCAACTTGTACGATTCGCTCGTGTATGTAACAACGTATTAGATTTTAGCGAAAGAAATTTATGTATTACTGAAAAATTACTACACCAGGGTTTTCGATATCATAAACTAGTCAAAACATTTACTAAATTTTATCATCGGTATAAGGACATCATTCGTAAATATAACTCAACATGCAGACATCTTATACGTTCGGGTATTTCACATCCAATCTTTTATGGTAATATTCTTTACAAAGCACAAAAATGTCAGTATTCACCTCAAAAGCTAACAAAACCTTTAAACAGACTTATTAAGAAGGGATATAGTTACGATACTGTTGTCAGGTCATTAAAGATTGCATATTTTGGCTTTAATATTGATTCACTTATCATGAGGGTCTTTGCATCGGAATTAAACATATTTATTCTAAAACCAGTTGTTGGCATGACACGGGTTATGTTCTTCTCATATATTAAACCCCTAACAGGAGGGATTGTGCCTGATATTCATATGATGAAGACATAATCTTTCAATCAGTTTACTTGAGGTCTGGAGCTGGCATGTCAGTAACTGCTAGTAGTCTTGTTATTTATGTATTATTGTCATTTTGTTTATTTTCTTTTGTTTCCTATTCTGACATCGGACTCGGACTTCTCTTAAACTGAGTTTTACTGTGCGTACTCGGTTGTACGTTTGTTTTTTCTACATTGGCTAGAGGTATAGGGGGAGGGTTGAGATCTCAAAAAACATGTTTAACCCCGCCGCATTTTTGCGCCTGTCCCAAGTCAGGAGCCTCTGGCCTTTGTTAGTCTTGTATCATTTTTAATTTTAGTTTCTTGTGTATAATTTGGAGTTTAGTATGACGTCCATTATCACTGAACTGGTATACATGTTTGTTTGGGGGCAAGCTGAAGGACGCCTCCGGGTGCGGGAGTTTCTCGTTGCATTGAAGACCCATTGGTGGCCTTCGGCTGTTGTCTGCTCTATGGTCGGGTTGTTGTCTCTTTGACACATTCCCCATCTCCATTCTCAATTTTATGGCTTATAACTGAATTTTCCTCGAGTCGTGTACGTTAGTGACATCCAATATTTCATGATTTGTTTCCTTGAATTTGAAAAGGCTTTATCTTCAAACGCAATTGAATACCATACAAAGTTGAGTAAATAGATGCCAACCTCGAGCTCCATTTTACAATATGGTGATGGTTTATCCCTTCATGATCATGTGCTGAACTAATTTGGATAAATTTCGGATGATCACATCTTACTCTTATATGCCTAAAAGATTTTTTTTTCTTCAATACCATCTGTCTTTCACAACTGAAATAACTGTATAGTAAGTTCCATTGTTTTCATGATCTCTTACATGAGTGCATGCAACCCTTAAAATTGACATTGAATACTAATCATCAAACCATCATTTACTGGTGAACGAAAGTTTGATCATGATTGGAAGCAAAACTAGCTCTGTGAAACCAGACATATTATACAATGTAATCAAGGTCTCTGGTGAAACATACAAGTTTGTTCTGTTGTCATATCCAATCTTGTGATCCTACCATTTATCCTGGACTTATACTAAATTAATACTATCAACATGATCAAGCATTGCATAAGTTTCGAATTCAAAACACAAGCATAATTGAGTCAAAATACTTTTCTTCTATGCAATTTTGTTCAGTTTGTTGCCTCGACTTAAAAACGGCAAACTGAGTAAGGTTCATTTCAATATAATCAACATTGTTGATAGTTTGGATGCAGATCTTAATACTAATAGCTGGGAGTTTAAATTAAAATTATGAAAACTTGAGCACTTAGTTTGAATGGTGATTATAATGTAACTATGTTATTTTGGCCTACGTGCTTTTTTATTATCTTGATCTCCATTCACAAGAAATAGACGAAGGTAGAAAATCTAGAAACAAAACTGAAGCTCTATCATGTTAGGTAAACAATTGTAGTCTAAATTGTATCGTCATCCCAACTGATATCATACCACTGTTGATTGTGTAGAAGAAATAATTGTCTTTAGTGTGATTTAATTTCCAAGTACTGTAACTTTTGCTCATAAATGATAACACTTCTATGCAAATAATTTAAGAAATAAGATTCATTGACTGATGTTAAGTCACTTGTTAAGCAGTGTCCAGTATGTATGAATGACAACTGATGTATCTACTTCCAGGTTGACCTGAAGGATATTGCTGATAAATATATGGAACTTTACAAGAAAGGGTTAGCTTTAGCCATAGAGAAGGACACTTATGGAGATTATAGGAAATTATTGTTAAGACTTTCTGGAAAAGATTAATTTGATATGATTTTAATCTAATTTTAGAACCATTAGTCACTTGCCATTTTACATTTATTTTTAGGTTTTACACATGTTAATTGGTAGAACATTTTGACATTTATACACACATCTTTTTGAATTTATTACCACAGAATTTTTTTTAGTGACTTCAAATGTTTATATGTGAGTTAGTACATATATAAATTTCATTCAATCATGATGTAGCAAACTATTGGAATATGTCTATATTAAAAATGTGTCTTTTCAAAATGTAATGATTTGCCAAATTATATCAGCTTCTACATGTTGTTATATATCTTTATAGCCATATAATTTAAATAAACAAACATGGACTGCTCCAAAAGAGGGACAAAGTAATCCTCCTTACACACACAGCTTCCAAGGGATCTCTTTGTTGACTAGTCTCCAAATAGTATAAAACAAGAATGTGTCCATAGTACGTGGTTGCCCCACTCCCACTATCATTTTCTATGTTCAGTGGACCGTGAAATTGGGGTCAAAACTCTAATTTGGCTTTTAAATTAGAAAGATCATATCATGGGGAACATGTGTACTAAGTTTCAAGTTGATTGGACCTCAGCTTCATCAAAAACTACCTTGACCAAAAACTTTAACCTGAAGCGGGACACCCCACTTGCACTATCATTTTTTATGTTCAGTGGACCGTGAAATTGGGGTCAAAACTCTAATTTGGCATGAAATTTGAAAGATCATATCATAGGGAACATGTGTACTAAGTTTCAAGTTGATTGGACCTCAGCTTCATCAAAAACTACCTTGACCAAAAACTTTAACCTGAAGCGGGACAGACGGACGAATGGACAACGGATGCACAGACCGAAAAACATAATGCCCCTAGGTGGGGCATTATATAAGCAGAGCAGAAATGGCTGTCCATATTTTTGGTATGGTAATCCCCCAAATGCAAAAATAAACCAAACAAACAAAAAACACAACCAAAAAACCCCACTCAGATAAATAAATTGCTTCGCCGAGCGCAGCTGGATACGGCCGCAGAGGTCCAACTCTGAACAGTTGGGGCAAAAATGGACGCAATATTTGGGCTTGATACAGGTCTGAATTTGGATTGTAATTAAATATTTGACACATAAAAGGTTTCTGACACAGAATAACTGTATTCAAAGAACTTAGAATTGGTTACATGATTTGAATTCATATTCAATTTTTTGCTTTTGTGCAATACACTTTGCTGTTGCGAATTGACCCCCCTCCCCTCACAAAAAAAAATAAAAAATTTACCCCCCTTTTTTTTTGCAAAAAAAATAATATTTGAAGAATTTTTCTTTTTTAATTTCTGAAATCTGAAATGAGAAAAAATTGACCACCCCCTTTTTCCCCAAAAAAAATTCTTTCCCTCAAGATATGGTCATAATCTCAATTCAAATTTCCAATGGAGTTTGCAACCATATTTACCCATTTAAATTTACCATAGTGCTAACTTAATCTATTTTATAAAAGAATCTAAAATATGGTGTCAAATCTTTCATATGGATTTTTTTGTAAAAAAAAAAGATGCAACATTTGCAGATATTTTTACTGGTCTTCCTTTATAAATATGCATTTCTTTAAACATAATTTAAAAGCAGTGTAAGGGAGGTAATCAAAATGTTGTATTTGGATTACCTCCCTTACACTGCTTTTAAATTGTCTTAATTGTTCATTAACCATTACTTTATACATAATTTAAAAGCAGTGTAAGGGAGGTAATTCAAATGATGTATTTGATTTACCTCCTTTACACTGCTTTAAATTATGTTTTGTACTATAGTATTTGTCCATTAACCAGGACACCCTTGTTTTTCCCCCTTTTATGCCCCTAATTCCCAAACGGTTTGAGCCATAACCCCCCAAAGCAAATCCTAACCATCCCTTTGTGGTATGGAACCTTGTGGTATAATTTCAAAGAGATCCATACACTGTTCCACAAGTAATTGTCTGGAAACTAGAAAAATGCTTAATTTTGTCCCCTTTTTGGCCCCTCAGTCCTTAACTGTTGGTACTATAACCCCCAAAATCAATCCCAACCTTCCTTTTGTGGTATTGAACCTTATGGTAAAATTTCATAGAGATCCATTCACTTAAACTAAAGTTATTGTGCGAAAACCAATGTGTCTTTGGACGACGACGACGCCAACGTCATACCAATATACTACTGCAAAATTTGTTTGCGGTCGTATAAAAATTAAACAGCTAAATCCTGTTGAAGAATTCAATCTGCCCTACTTTTTTGCAATGCTGTTTTTAAGGAGCATGGACAACAACAACACAAAACATTTGAAATGATGCCTGTGTCCCTACAGCTGGATGCTGCCAGGCCAGCAAAAATAACTATCAACTAGCTATGATCTTTGACCAAGACCATCCATTATACATTTATGCATCTTAGGCAACAATGTGTGTTAACTATTGGTTTGGTCCAAGCAAGCATTACAATATCTGAAGTTCTGAACATGTTTTTCTTCATAAAATCTGGGTCTACATTCGAATGCTCTGCTATATGATTATCTCTAAATGTATGTTATATAACGGGACTATGCATTATACCTCTTTTACAATGCAAAACCATCATTCTCAACTTGGCTTATATAAATACAGTGCTCTTGGACTTGTATCATGTCTGATTTCAGATATCAAAAAAGTTTGGTGAAATTAAATGTACAATACAAAAGAAGGTTCTTGAATCATATATTCCCAGAATTTCATCTTTTTCATAGCTGCTGTAGATCTTTCATTTAGTTTTGACAAAATAAACATAAGTCTTTCTCTACTTAAAAGAGAATTGTTGGACCCCTCAAATAGATACTTCCGATACAAACAAGGTATTGTATTTTTTTCAAACTTTAACTTTGACCTTATATTTATTACTATTTGAATTTAAGAATACAATCAATTAAAATAAAAGAACAAACAAATACTCTCATTAACATTACCTCTTTATTAAGATGCTTTTTTGGGCAATAGCTGGAATAAGTAGTAAGAATTCACCTGTTATTTATAACTTCTTATTAAACTTTGTGTGAGTCTACCAAGTAAGACATGTGTTGCCTACTGTTTCCAAATCATAAATAAAATAAAAGAAGAATGTGTCTGAGGACAAGAATGCCCCTGCTTAAGCTTTGCAATTTTCCAAGTTTAAAAGGGGCATAACTCTAGAACGGTAAATGACTCACTGCCCAAATTGGAACTCTGTCTGCGTGTTGTGGTTCTTAGCATTGTGTATGAGTTTCATAAAATTCCCAAGAGTCTGAAAAATCTTGTGTATAAATTTAACAGAGCCTATCAAAGATCTGCAAACATCATCAAATTTCCCAAAAGCCTAAAAATCATTTAGATATTACAAGAGACAACTACTAACAAGATTCCTGACAAAGGCCATTTGGTCAGGTTTTTAGACTATTTTTTTTAAAGATCTAAACCCTCTCCTTTTTAAAGCTTAATATGTTAGTGTTGAAATGTAAAATTTTGCATAATTTACCCCTATACTCTACCTTCTGTAAGCAGCTATATTGGTTGAATGATAGGAACATCACACATCCTTTTGAAACTAGCCTCCAAATGGATGAGGGTCAAGATAGGTTTCAATGGCATTGAGTTTTCAGAGTAGGATTTAAAAAAAAGCTTTTATGATGGACAATGACAAGGATGACCAGGATAGATGGTAATAGCTCACTCTAGTTTTCAACAAGGTGAGCCACAAAAGTTTAAATTATATGCATCTCCCATTAATAAATGAGTAAAAAATAATAATCGGATTCATAATTCTATAAAAATGAAGACAAATCATATAAAAGATTATTATTATGACTTTGCCAGCTTTATAAAATGTTCTCTCAAAGCTGTCACTGCTTTGAATCTATGAGATATTGTATTTTTTACATCCTTTGGCATTTCTGCATAGGTCTGTGTAAACTTATCGGGTTGGAAACATGGATCCCAGCCAAAGTCTCTTGGTCCCTCAGGTGATACAATTTGACCATCTGTCTGACCTCTAAATAAGATAACCTCTGATCCTTCAACCCCAGGATGATAAGCTAATGTACATAAGGCATATGCTGTTTTATCTTCAAATCCATATAACATCTTATGTAAACCTGAAATTACAAAATGTATATGTTAATTAATTCTAAATATGTGGTCATATTCATCATATTTTTATTAGATGTGCCCATAATAATCAAAAACTTTACAGATGGTTATCATACTTTAAATTTGACCCTTTCAGTCTGTTTGAACTGATCAGATGTACAAATGGAAACATGAAAATAGCCCTTCATCATACTTTCAACTTTAATTTGACTCTTTCTGTCTGTTTGAACTAATCAGATGTACAAATGGTACATTACTGCAGTAAATTATCCATAACAGAGGCATCTAGTGTGACTTCCCTGTAATATATTAGGCGCAGCTCTTACAAATTTAAGTCCCATTCAGATTCAATGTGCATGCAGTCCATGTGCATAAACACTTACAGATCTGTTGGACAGCACCACTTGTAGATACAGTTAGAAAAATTACAAAACATAAAGGGTTGATTTAAAGTCGTAAAAAATCAATTAACCTAATGCATGTACTCACTAAAATGTAGCCATTGATTTGAACTGCTTCTTAGAAAAAAAATTCATAAGGGGTTCTGCGGAACCCTGTGTCTTGCTTGCGATTGCTGCTGTCAGTGTAAAAGTGTAATGTTGACTTATAAAAAGTGAGTCCATTTATCAGTAAAATACAGAATTTAAAAAAAAATTCAAACTTTTTCTTTAGATGCTCTTTTTTGGTCTTGAAGATGAGCTTCTGTACAAGTTTCATAACAATCCATTAAGGTTTACAAATTTATCATTATCCCAGACTGTCTTTAAATGTTAACTGTAAAAAATGAAGTCCATCTATCAGAAAAATACTAAAAATGAAAAAAATTATTTTCAAAGGTTTGCTTTAGACATTATCTCTTAATCATTAAAAAGCTACTGCCAAAGTTTCATAAAACTCTATGAAGGTTTGACAAAGTAATTGATGTGTAACAAAATTTATATCCAGAGTCCCAGACTGTATCTACTTGTTAACTGTAAAAATACTAAGTCCATTTATCAGTAAAATACGGAAAAATGAAAATAAATATTTTCAAAATTTTGCTTTGGATACTATATTTTGGTCATAAACAAGCTTCTGTCCAAATTTCATAAATTTCCATGAAGCTTTGACAAAGTTGTTGATAACTGAAAAACTTTAACCTCAGACAAAATCTGAAGTTAACTGTAAAAAAATCTAAGTCCATTTAATAGTAAAATATGGAAAAATGAAAATAAATATTTTCAAAATTTTGCCCTGGATACTGTATTTTGGTCATAAACAAGCTTCTGTCCCAATTTCATAATATTCCATGTATGTTTGACTTATTGATGTCCAAAAAAACTTTAACCACAGACTGAACCTAAATGTTGACGCTGCGGATGGAATCTAGGATTGCTATGTCTCGCTTTCTCGAAATAAATTTCACAAGCTTGACAAAAATTAATCCATTATTCAAATATAAGTTGTAGATTATTGTTTTATTCATTTAAAAAAATATATGTACTATCAATTTTTCAGTCTTGTACGACAGCCTAGACCCTCGTAGAATAATTAATGCTGTTTCTTACCTTCTGGACCTATCTTTGCTAAAAACCATTTTATATAGGGACCTGGCATTCCACCTAGAGCATTGAAACATAAACAAGTATCTTCAATAATCACTGGACCTTTGATTTGTGATCTTGCCAATTCACACTTAGATCTGGCTACCTCATCAGGCTCTCCCTGGTATTCTGGTAGATCTACATCATTACTAATCACCTGATAATAATAACAGTTAATTAATTAAATAAGAATCTGAACACACTGTTACACTTCAATATATGTCTATCTGACAATAAGTATCAATTATTGGTCATTTGAAATAAAAGGTACATGGGGAATATCTAAAGATTTGAATATTAATCAAAATAAAACATGACAATTTTTTTATATGAAGTATATTCAAATTTCAACAAAAAATGAGTTTTATACATTGCATAAACCTTTGATATAAATTTGATAAAATTGTGGCAAAAATTGTACATGTGAGAGAGCTTACCATGCAATTTTCCATATAATTAATATTTCCAAGGAACTCTTAAATTATTTTTTGCTATTAAAACACTAAATTTTTGTCCACATGTGATTATTATCATTACAAAAATGTTTGTTGATTCTGGTACATTTAAAAAAAACCAATATTGTCAAATATTATGCACTGAAAAAGTTCACTAAAAATTAACCTACCTCTATTCTTTTTCTCTACCAGTATATAAATCATAAACAGATAATGTCTACAAGTTTGCTGCTGTATATCATATTGGTTTTGTACATAAACATGATAAATCAGATCATTGGTTTTCTCGTTTGATTTGTTTAAACTTTTTGTTTTGTCGGGGTCTTTTATAGCTTGCTATATGTGGTAAGGTTTTTTTCTCATTGCAGAAAGCTGTAAGGTGACCTATAGGGATAGTTGTCTCATTGGCAATCATACCACATCTCCTTATTTTATAGTATATGTCAAACTATAAGGTCTGAAAGACTCTCTTAATAATGAATAAAAACATTGTTGAAATAGTTTGTATTATAAGTTAGTAAATGTGTGTTTGAATAACAAAGTTTCTCAAATAACTACCAGGTACTTCCAGGATTAACAAAAATCTGTAGAAAAAGTTAGGAAACCAGTCTTATTTGTATAAAACTCATAACATCCATTATTCATCATTTTCTTAGCAGATAATTAAATACCTTGAATAAATCTTTATCATGAAATATATAACATTCAATACATACCTCGTAAGGAAAATCTTTTCCTAAGATAGCAACAAATTCTTCAAGCTTTTTCTTATTTCCAGTGACAAGAGTAATAGGTTGTTTGGTGCTAGCCATTATATATCTCTTATATAGTCTTGAGTAAACCTAAAACATATAATCATGCCTTGCTTTATAGTTTGATTGACTGGTATATTCTATATTTACTTGAACTTAGGCAGAGTTGTCGAAAAGTGGTGGTCTAAAGGTTTCGACCACCAACATTTTGCAAAGGAACTGACACAATTTTGGTATTTTGCAATAGAAATAATAGTGAGGACCAATAGACTTTCTTCGCGGACCACAAGGGAAAAAAAAGATTTCTAGAATTCTGCTAACGTCAATTCAAGGCTAGTTTTTCTCTGCAAAATTGGATCATTTGGGATCAAAACAAGATGTGTAAGTTGATAATTTGAAGAACTTATTTCCGATGAGAAGCATATTGTTTCTAGCATCAGTAGACACCATGTACAAATAATTCTCCTTAACTGTTATTTTTGGAAAGAATTTAAGGTGATTCGACAAAATCTGTCGATTTTTTTTCGTCATAAAGAAAATATACATTTTATCGTTATGCACCAAAAATTACCGTTAACGTCATTTGGCAAGATTTTTTGATGTTATTTGTCATGAAGGTACCCCCATTACAAGCCTCTTAAGTGTGTGCTATACTTTTTAATAATGCAATGACATTCTGATGAGAAAGTTTACGGGCACATGTTTTTCTTATAATGGATGTTGACTTGACAGTGATACATCTTGGAACAGAGACAAAATACATAAAATCCATGTATGATGTGTATATTTCTTTCTAAACAACCAAAGCTTTATGCTTTTTCATTCTTCTTACTGCCTTGGTGGTCTTGTGTTTGCCTTGAGTGTATGAGGTTGTGGGTTTGAACCCTGACCTTTTCAAACCAAAAAAATAAAATTGGTATTTGCTACTTCTCCACAAGGCACGGCTAAGGATGTCGGTTAAGTACAGGGTTCATATTCATTTCACACGAACATGTTCTCCATTTGCCACTGGATGTTAAACAGCCATCCATCCATCTATTGACACAGGTAATATATTAGACAATCTATTGAACAGATTTTTTACAGACATTACTATCTATTGTTTACAGATATTCAATCCAATTCAATTAAATACAATTGTAGCATCAATCAATTGTTGTCAATTTACTTAATCTATTCAATTAACCCTTTATTCTTAGTGTTGATTAAATTGCTATCGTTTTAAGAGTTGATCAATTTGCTATCGTTTAAGAGTTGATCAATTCAATCAGTGGTCTATGTTTTTCTTCGACTCATGACCATATTGGTTTCGATCATGCAAGAGTTGATCAATTCAATCAACTGTCTCATCTGGTTTAATCAGGTCACCATCGTATCAATTGTATTCAATCAATACAATCATTTAAGAGTTGATCAATTCAATCAAATGTCTCTTCTCTTTTTCATGACTCCAGATAGTTTAAGTGTTGATGAATTAAATCAACTGGCTCATGGCAGATTCCATATAAGAAAGTGAAACAACTCCCATAAGCACGTTAGGCAAAAATGATAAGCAATGAAATTCTGTTTTTGAATACATGCTTTACTAATAAAGATAAAGACAATTTGACGAAAAAAAAAATTATGAGCATCATCCTTTTTAAATAAACGAAGCCTTAAATATTATGTTTCTGACATAAGATTTGACAGACTTTATTGTTTCTGACATAAGATTTGACAGACTTTATTGTTTCTGACATAAGATTTGACAGACTTTATTTTTTCTGACATAAGATTTGACAGACTTTATTATTTCTGACATAAGATTTGACAGACTTTATTTTTTCTGACATAAGATTTGACAGATTTTATTATTTCTGACATAAGATTTGACAGACAAATTGAGTTTCTGACATAAGATTTTGACAGACTTGATTCTGACATAAGATTTTTCATACATAAGATATTTTGACAGACAATATATATTTGTTTTTTTTGACTGACATTGGAAATCAAATCCTAGTTGAAAGTCATTTTTAAAACTCCTGGAAAATACTGCAGCCTAACATCTAACAAGATTTCACTACAGGTCAAAGAACTTTAACTGTTAGCACATTCAAATGTTTCAGACATAAGAAAACAAGTTTGACAGATCTTATGTAGGAAACATATTAGTTAAAACTATTGCTTGAATAAAGTTAAATGAAAGAATCAACATGTGTTTTTTCTTATGCACAGCATGACTTACAGTTTTAACTGGCATATATTGGAACCTACAATGATTTTGAAAGTTTTTACAGCGATGTTCCTGACATAAGATTTATTGACAGACACTGAGCTATAAAGCAAGATATTTGAAAGTGAAAAAAAATATATATCACAGATGTTTTTGACTAAAAAAAGTAACAAATTTGGGAACAGGGATGTTTGAATAACCAGACTACACTAGTAAATACCAGTATACAAGTGTCAACATAAAGCATTGCAATACATAAACATTGTGTAAAAAAATGGGAGTTAATTCTGTCAAAATTTTTGCATTTTTTCAACTTGTTTTAATCATTTCTACTTTAAACGGAAACAATCATATCCAAAAATTATTTTTATAATTTCTTCTAACATCATTATTCCTCAAAACATTCACAGATTATCTTTAAAATAACAGTAATTATTATTTTTATTTATTTATTCATTTTGACAGACATTTCAATTTCTTATATGGAATCTGCCTCATGTGGTTTTCAAGGAGTAACAACCGAATCAATCGTATTCAATCATAATGACTGTTTAATAGTTGATGAATTCAATCAACTGTCTCTTCTTGTGTTCAAGACTCACAATTGTATCAATCTTATTAAATTGTTAAGATTGTTTAAGAGTTGATGAATTTAGTCAACTGTCTCATGTGGTTTTCAAGGAGTAACAACCGAATCATTTAATAGTTGATGAATTCAATCTGACAACTGTCTCTTCTTGTGTTCAAGACTCACAATTGTATTGATCTTATTCAATTGTTAAGATTGTTTAAGAGTTGATGAATTAAGTCAACTGTCTCATGTGATTTCAAGAGTCATGATTGTATCAACTCTATTCAATCATTACAATTGTTTATGAGTTAACAAAAAACACTAAGCTGCAATGGCTTCAGTATAGAATAAATCATAGAATTCTGGCAACAAATAATAAACAAAATAAGGTTAGTTCAAAACCCATATTGTACTTTTTGTGAGACTGAATTGGAATCAATTGAACATATACTTTAGGGACTGTTATTATGTACAACAATTTATTGAGAAAACTGAAATCTGGTTTCTCCAGAATGGTATTAGTATACCGTTTACACAAAATATTTTTTTGGGCAGGGGGGGGGGGGGGAAATTTATCACAAATGTAAAACGGTGACCCTCAAAACAATATTTTTCTCTGGATTAAACAATATATATATATATAATACAAGATATTCTAAAGGAGAATTAAGCTTAACAGCATTGCAGTGATTGAAAAAATAAAGCATCATTATTATTTGGAGAAGATAGCAATTAGAAATAAATGTTTTGACAAGTTTAACCAAGCTTGGCACATTAACCAGGAGGGTTACAGGATAATTTGATGGATTAGCAATAAAAAGATTAACAAACATGAAACTAAATTTTTTTTCTTTTTTTGTTTTACTTTATTTTCTTTCTTGTTTTTTTTTTTCTTAATCATCTTTTATTATTTTTTGTTGATCCATTCATTCAACTGCCTCTTCTTGTATTTTGTGGTAAATAATTGTATTCAATCATATCTATCGTAATGATCAAAGGTTCACAATTTAAAATGAGTTGATTTAGTTCACAACTGGTTATCAATTATGATCAATCATACCAATCGTTACAATAGATGTCTTGTAATGTTTTATTGAGTTGATTGAGTTGAAATTTTTGTTCAATCAATGTCAATGTAATCAATTGTTACAAAAGAGTATTTATAAATTTAAGCAGAGTAACAATTGATGATCCATCATTATCAAATGATTCTATTGTTACAATCATTATTTTTTTAAAGTCAACTGTTATTCAACTGAACCCACATCAAAAGCAGATGTTATTTATCGAAATTTTACCACTCTCTTATTATATACATGTCACGCTTGGTGTTAATTAGCTTTGAATGGCAATTGCCTTTGATCAATATCTGATAAATTGTGAATTGGGAGAGTAATATGTCATTCTTCTGTAGTTCTAGTAAACTTCTGGTACATCATTTACATTGACAATCATGTCCGACACTGATGTGACTGATTTTACAGAAGAAGAAGTAATGAAATCATGAAAGATGACAGCTTTAGGGAGCAACCATTTAACTTCAAGGGGGGTTATGGTTTTTTGTCTGAGTTAGAAAAAAAATTTCACACAACGCACGAACATTTTTTTTTAGTTTTTCGACACTATCAATCAAATTATTTTTTTCAAAATTTATCACTATAAGGTACATGTATGGGGAAAATCTAGATTCAGAATATTTTTGTCATCTGCTTGACCACAATATTTTTTTTCATCAAATTGGGGATCAGAATATTTTTTTAGGAAAAAACCATAACCCCCCCTTGAAGTTAAATGGTCATTCCCTTACCGAAAATTACTTTATATATACACAAATAAAATATTTGCATATTTAAAAAAAAATGATGCCCAAGCTGATCTCAAAAACCTTATCATCATTATCATATACCACAACGAGGGTTGGTCAAGGGCCGACAGACTTGCTCAGGAAAGTTTTTGGATAAGAAAGTTAAGGACAGTTTCCCCAGAGGGCATTAATAAAAAAATATAAAATGAGTCCCTACCATCACTTGTTTCCTGTAACTCAGGCTTCAGTACAGGACTCTCACAGTTTTAAGGAATTTATTCCTCCTCCCAAACATCAATATTGAAAAAATTTACCAGCATATTGATTCGCGATAATTTGTATGACGTTCAAGATTATTATTTCAGTTCAACTACAACATGTCAAGATGAGAATCATTTGACATCTTACTGATGAAGGATATTAGTTATACGAAATATTATAGCTCTGAATTTGGATTGTGATTAAATATTTGACACAGCATAGGTTTCTGACACAGAATAAATGTGGTCTAAGAACTTAAACATTTTTAATTTACCTATTCAAACCATATCATTATTATTTGCTTTTATATATAAATCAGAAATAACCAATTTAAAATGAAAAATTTTAAAGAAAAAAAAAAGGAAAAAAAGGAAAAAAAGGAAAAAAATATCCCTCCCCCAAATTTTTTGAACCCCTTTATGATTCATCACCCTTAACTCAATCCCAGCCTTCCCTTTGTAGTATGGTACATTGCAGTACAATTTCAGAGAGATCCATACACTTGAACACAAGTTATTGTCTGGAAACTAGAAAAATGCTTGTTTTTAGGCCTCTTTTTAGCCCCAAATTCCTAAACGTTTAGGGCAATTACCCCCAAACTCAAACCCAGCTTTCCCTTTGTGATATGGAACCTTGTAGTACAATTTCAGAAAGATCCATACACTTACACACAAGTTATTGTCATGAAATTAGAAAAATGCTTGTTTTTTGCCCCTAATTCCTAAAATTTTGAGGCAATTACCCCCAAAATCAATCCCAGCATTCCCTTTGTGGTATGGTACCTTGCAGTACAATTTCAGAGAGATCCATACACTTTAACACAAGTTATTGTCTGGAAACTAGAAAAATGCTTATTTTTGGCCCCTTTTTTGCCCCTTATTCCTAAACGTTTTGGGCAATTACCCCCAAACTCAATTCCAGCTTTCCCTTTGTGATATGGAACCTTGTAGTACAATTTCAGAGAGATCCATACACTTACACACAAGTTATTGTCATGAAAATAGAAAAATGCATGTTTTTTGCCCCTTTTTGGCCCCTTATTCCTAAAATTTTAAGGCAATTACCCCCAAAATCAATCCCAGCATTCCCTATGTGATATGGTACCTTGCAGTACAATTTCAGAGAGATCCATACACTTGAACACAAGTTATTGTCTGGAAACTAAAAAAATGCTTATTTTTAGGCCCCTTTTTGGCCCCTCTTTCCTAAACGTTTTGGGCAATTACCCCCAAACTCAATTCCAGCTTTCCCTTTGTGATATGGAACCTTGTAGTACAATTTCAGAAAGATCCATACACTTACACACAAGTTATTGTCATGAAACTAGAAAAATGCTTGTTTTTTGCCTTTTTTTGCCCCTAATTCCTAAAATTTTGAGGCAATTACCCCCAAAATCAATCTCAGCATTCCTTTGTGATATGGAACCTTGTGGTACAATGTCAGAGAGATCCAAACACTAACACACAAGTTATGTCTGGAAGTTACAAAAATGCTTATTTGTGGCCCCTTTTTGGCCCCTAATTCCTTAACAGTTGGTACCATAACCCCCAAAATCAATCCTAACCTTCCTTTTGTGGTATTGAACCTTATGGTAAAATTTCATAGAGATCCATTCACTTAAACTAAAGTTAGAGTGCGAAAACCAATATGTCTTCGGATGACGACGACGACGACGCCAACGTCATACCAATATACGACAAAATTTTGCGGTCGTATATAAATTACAATCAAAGGAACAAATGTAACTATAAATATTTCGGATAACAGATATCCTTCATCAGTATGATCACGATGTAAAATGAATCTTATCAACCTATTCTGATTATAAAACTATAGCAATCTTGAATTCTATACAAAAAAAAAGTTTTACCAGAACACCATAGAGACGCTAGTACAATTCTAAAATTTCCAAACACGGCGCAACGACATACTTAAAATAAAAATAGTAATGATTTGCGATATGAGCTTGCACAACTTTAAAATTCAAAAGGTGAAGACAGTTAAGATGTTACAACAACTGCGTGGAAATATATTCCCAATAAGCAGCACTGACCGATCTAAGCTTGTATAATATTTCAAATTAGACAACGGTAGAGTAATTAAAACAGAGGCTGTGTATTTAAACACCCCAAATAAATAGCAGTTTGATAATGATAAGAAAAATAATTGAACGTGACTGCGTACTTTTACATCCATCCCAAATGAGTAGAACCCTATAATTAAAACTAGTATAATTAAAAAATTCCTTAAAAATGTAGGAGTCTAGTACAGAAGCCGGAGTTACTGGAAACAAGTGATGGCAGGAAATAAGTGATGGCAGGAAAATGAGTGATGGTAGGGAAAATGAGTGAAACATTCTGTTTTTTATATATATATAAACAAGTCTGTGCATGCAAAACAAATTTCTTGTTAGAGGGGTCTAAAAACAGCACAAACAACATTTTCCAAAAGACCAAAAAGTGAAAAAAGTATATTTTAACAAAAACGCATTTGACTAACAGGTCGAACAACTGATTTCTTAAACCCTGCTGACTGCCATGGCGATTGCCAAATAAACGTATCACAAGATGTAACAAAATGGATCTTAATTGTTAATTTAATACCAAACAGAAAACAATAAACTTGCGGAAAAGATGGTATACCGCAAACATGAGGTGCAAAAATTTGTACACCATATCCGGATTTCTACATATATATATATAAATGTAATTATAAGAAATGAATGCTTCTTTTTGTAATTTTATTGGGGTGTAAAAGTGTTGACCGAAGCACATTTTGTATGAAGCGTGGAATCGCGAATGTAACATTTCATTTTGATATGAAGGTTAATTTTAGAATGATGCGTGATTGTTGTTTGCCAATCAAACTAATGGATTCTCGTGAAACATGAATGTAATGTATATTGTATGCATATGATTCTTAAGCACCATCCCCTGGTGTCTCCTCCAGCTATAAGCAATCAATTTACGAAAATGTTTGTCTCCCCTTGGATTGCACTGCCACAAACATCCTGATTTCATAGAAGTTAGAACTCAACATTTAAAATAATCTTATATTGTATTTGTTATTACCACACCAGTATTATACATTGTATTCTTGTACTGTATTGTTTGTATAACTGAATTATGATTGTATCTTTGTCATTGTCCCCTGAGGGAAAAACACATGGAAACACATATTGTATTGTATCAGAGGCATATATACACAAATCTCTGTGTATATATTCTCTGATTGTATTGTATTTTATCGTATTGTATATATATCAAACTACTGTTACATTTAGTCACTTTCAGATTTCGTTTAACTTTAACCCTCTTGCTGCCGAGTTTTTTTCTTGCTTTGTCGCGCCAAAAGCATCTTGACGTTTCATATCTGTGACGTTGCAAAACTTGTGCCTCTCTGTAGAACAGCCCTTTTCGCCGTCCATAATATTTCCCACGTCAATGTAGCCGTAATTATGAAAAGCGATGTAAAAGTAATTTTATGAAAACTATTGCTATAAGATTGTTATAAACGATGTTTTTAATACAATATTATTTTACAATACAACTTTTAACCTTGAAATATAGTTTTTTTTATCTTTCTTGTCTTCAAAAAAATGAAAATAATATACCCATGGTCACCCATTGCTACTAGCTTTATAAGCGCTTTTGTTTTATTTTTGTCAAGTGAAATGCATAACTGATTCTTAACCACCTCTAAAATACTAAGATATATTTATCCTTGTTACCCGATTAGCTTAGCAAACCTTGTTATAATTGATAAATACCGTAAAAAATCTCTCAAATAATTATATAAACAAAACAACGGCCCCAAATAAAAATAAAAATAAAAACAATGAGTGTACAAATAAAAATAAATAAAAACTCTGAGCAGCCGATTCTATGAACTACTTCTTGTTGTAAAGTATCAAACGTGTCAGATTAAAATTTTCATTCCAAGCCTTGTTTCGGTAGGCGAGAAAATAATGTTTATAGACGTTATTATCCATATTCATTTTGTTTATGTTTTAATCATGTTTATTATTATTTTGTTGACCACTTATTGCTCAAAATTTCAGAGAAATGTTTGAAAATACGAATTTAAAAAAAAACAGAATAGCGACGGAAGAAATTCTCTAAAATTAATTTCTATTGTCTACAAGTGAACCTGAATCAATAATAATTCATTTTCATTTTCTATGACGAAGTACACACTGTAATTGGCATACACGAAATATCTTTTAAAATATGTTGATTGATAAATTGTTATCTTCTCAACATTCAGTGGCAAGTATTTCATGCAATATTAAGGACGTCTGAAATTTAATGTAGAATAAATATGTTGCTCAGTGGGTCCTACAAAGTAAAAGATTTGTGATGAATGGCTTAAAATTGAGGTTGCCACTGGGAAAGGATGATATGTAAGATAGGAAAAGAAATCATTGGGTCACCTGCTAATATAACATCCCCATTTCAAATGAAAATAAATAGTTTTAGATTAGTGCTTCAATGATGAAACGGGTATAAAATGTATTGAAATATCGTATGGCAATACAAGTATATCGGGTATCATTTGTGTACTTTTACAAAAAAAAAATCTTCACTGAGAATTCAATCACGGCATTTGAGCCCTAAAGAAATTTTCCAGTTCTCTTAAATAAAGCGTGTATTGTGAATATTAATATTTCGCGTAATCAAGTATAACAGTTACCTTTTCTATGATTATTTATTAGGAATGCGATTATTATATGAGATATTCTGATTGAAAGATGTATGAAAAAAACGTTTAACAAATTTTTCGAAAGTACGCAACATTTTACATGAAAATGACGAACTAGATAATTAGAAAATACGTTAAATAAGTTGGCATTATAGTACTAACAAGCTTATGATCCTGTATCATTTTTTGACATCCGTTTTAAGTATACAAATAATGCATTTTATTCAGTTTGCTTCATTCCCGCCAAAATCGTCCTTTTGGCGCCGTCTTTTGACGTTGTCAGTGCCCCTCAGTATTGTGACGTTACCATGGACCTTTGACGTTCTACACAATCAACAAGATTTGTGTGTAGAAGCCATAAATGTCCCTTTGGCAGCAAGAGGGTTAAATAACTTATAAATTTTGGTTGGCCAATAAAATATACATGATTTTAACCTTTATGCCAGTAGACAGAGTACGTTGCATCTATTTCCAGGTTGCATTAGTTGCAAATTTCCCGCAATATCTTCTCACTCGCAGATTTATACAAATACCAAAAAGATTGATATTCAATATCAAAAACAGAGCGTCTGGTTATCGGTTGTGAGGGCATTGTTGTGTATCTGGCATATAATATATATAGTCTTAGTGTGTATATACTAAAATAAATATATCAATTCAGATTTTGATTTGTGGTTTCTTATGATTGAAATTATGGTTTTAATGCTTTGTATAATACCGAATTAGGTGTCCAGTACGGATTTACACATCATGAATCTAGTCTTTCTCAAATTTATTTTCGAATTTTTGGGGTTTTAAATGTTAGAATTATGAGAACTTGTAATATTCTTAATCTTGATTAATCACTGTTCAATTTTCAGTGTTGTGTTTTTTGTATCAGAAAAGGTAAAATAATGTTTCAAGTAGAGCTAGGCCTTTTAGGTCAAGGTCGTCCATTTCGTCTTTATGTGGCAATATGCCTCTGTCAGAATACATGTTTGATACACGAAAAATAGACAAATAAACGAAGAGAGACCACAATGTCACGACACAGGAATGTCAGATCTATGAACTATGAAGAAGGTATAATGAAATTCATCTAACTTAACAAATGTATTGTGAATCTGAAGATAAACCCTCCAACAGAAGAAATTTATATTTGGTGGGAAATAATTTAAAAGCGTAGATAAAAAGCATTAACATTTAGTTACCGGTTTTTCTTGGATTCCTATAGTGGAATGTCAGTCAGTTGTCATGCTAGTCGTGTCTTTTAGCATTAATTCAAAGGACCTGTTTAAAAATAAGATGTGTTGTATGATTGCCCATTAGACCATAAATGCATGGATGTAAGCAACTAGCATATAGTTCAAAGTTCTTTATTCCCAATAAAGGGCTTCCGAAGGGACACAATGACAATAATACACAATAAATTCTCATTCATAACACCTAAACATAAATGGAGATAAAATTAAAGTTCACGTAAACATATAAATGGATATAAAATTAAAATTCACATGAAGTGGATAAGATTACCATGGAATATATATCATACATATGATCATATAAAATATCACACATACAACTTGTTATTATTAAACATTCTTTTTTTGTAAATAAGTTTAGTTTAATATGAGACAGGTGCTATATGCATGATATGATTGGATCCTAAAGGTGGTTTCATTTAGTTCATGTCTGTTTTAAATATACCTTTTAGTTATCAGATATATAACACAAATTCGTGGGAAATTGTAAGCTCCTTTTGATATATCATATACATACATGTATTTGCTTCATTATGATATTTAGAAAAAACCTACAAAAAAAAATAAAACTAAAGAAGTTTTCTGATATGTTATTGAAGTTTTTTTCACGATAATGCTACCCCAATTTTCTATTCAATTCAAAAGTTTTATTTTAGGTTGATATTCAGTAAACAACATAAACACTAGTCTAGCTCTAGTGAACTTTTCAAATTGACAGAATAACAAAATATATACATACATACAAACTAATGAAAACAGCACAATTTAAAACATACAGGGCATGGTAAGATGATATAGGTGACATATAAAAGTTAAGTTTCAGTCATATTCTTGGAAACATGCTTTCAAAATAAAGTATATCTTAAAACATAGCTCATGTTAGAATATTAAGCAGCAGATAATAGGAACAAAAAGGCTATACAAATCATGCAGTCAAACAAAATGAAAAATGAAAATCACAAGCATTAAAGCACTTTATATACATGCACTGCAATGACGTGAGCTGTAATTTGATCCAATATTGGTATTATTGAATTGGTCAAAATATGTTTCCATACAACAATGGTTACGCAGCTCGTTTCAAATTTGTGCAGCTTTATAGCAAAATGTTGTCGAAACCATACTTAGTAGTTATAACTTTGGAAGTACTGCTGTTTCCTGTGATCTGAAATTATAGTTCTAAAATTTGATATCAATTAAATTATGCAGATAACTTGGACTTTTTTAATGAATTATTTTAAATGTTTCTGTTAGTCTCATAAGCAGTAGCTTAGTCCCAGGAAAAAATGTAAATTGATTTAAAACTTAGTTATTTAGAGATCCTCCAAAAAAATTGAAAAATTCAGATAACCTGTTTTTGGGGTTGTTGCCCCTGAACTGTCAATTACCAATTTTTGTTTTTATTTTTTTATTTTGAAAAATTGAAATCTAGCTACTTTAATAATGTATATTGAACCTGTTTATAAGTTATTTCTCCTGACATGTTTTTTGCTACTATCTCATAAACTACAGAGACTTACTTGATGCTTATGTTTCTGTTGAATTATTAAATGATCAGCATGACAAGATCTATTCAACCTAAAAAACAATTTCCATTCTGTTTTGGGGTTATTGCCCATAAAATGTTGGTTAAAAGTGTAATGTTTCAATGTTACTAACGATAACTAGTATGTGAAATTAAAGCTCCTTGAATGTAGACTTTCACTTTTTGACCAAGTGGGGAATACAGACTCTGGTTAGCCTCTTGTCTGTATACAACACTAGATTTTAAACTCTTTAATTCTAGGTCGTAAAATAATGTGAAAATTCATAAAAGCTACATCTATTGTAATTTAAAATAACTTTTCTGAGTAATTTTCTAAGACTTTCAATATGCATTGTGTAGATACAGAGAGATAATATTGACCCGGATTCAGATAAGACACCATATTTTTTTGAATTGTGACACAAAGAAAAAAATCCAACCTTACTACCATCCCTCTATAAATACTATAATTTACAGGAAGGAACCCCTAAACATACATAAACTAGTGTTAACTTTCCCAGACATTTGTGACTAAATACAAAATATACTGACAGTTTTGTAAATATTTGAAATTTGTTCTGTCATTTAAATTTTACTATACATTGTGAGGGCATATAATTTTTATGTAAACAGATTGACTTATAAATTATTTCTGAATATGATTTCCTACCCCCAAACTTCAATCTAGAAAAAAAGAAAGAAAACCAGTCATAAATACATGTACAATGGTATGGGTTGTTCATTAGTTAAGCTTCTAATATTATTTAAACAAAATTTACATTATTTTTTTTCAGATTTTTATGAAGATGATGATTACCTTGGTCATTCAGTAGAGGATAATTATTGTATATCTCCAGGGACAGGTAAGATTTCAGTAGAGGACAATTATGGTCTACATCTATCTCATTGAACAGGTAAAATTTTAGTAGAGTACAATAATTGTATATCTCCAGGGACAGGTAAGATTTCAGTAGAGGACAATTATAGTCTTATCTCATTGAACAGGTAAAATTTTAGTAGAGGACAATAATTGTATATCTCCATGGGCAGATAGGATTTCAGTAGAAGACAAAAAATTTATATCTCCTTGAACAGTTAAAATTCAGTAGAGGACAAAAATTGTATTTCTCATTGAACATATTAAATTTCAGTAGAGGACAATTAATGTATATCTCCTTTAACAGGTAAATTTTTGGTGTAAGACAATTTTTGAATATCACCAGGAACTTGTAAGTTTCGAAAATTTCAGCTAAAATAGACGTGAGAATTTTCTGACATCATGTTGCTGTTTGCAAATAAGATGGAATTTGCGTTTATAATACAATATAATCCATATAGTGGTACCACATGATGTCACCCGAAAGGAAAGTTCAGTAAGGACCATATTTGGCCCTGATTATTAAGTTCAATGTTTCAAGATAGAAAATGTTTTAAGTTGATGAAAAGACATGTGAGAAAGTTTATTAGAACTATTTTTGTCAAAGTTTTATTTTAAAGCATTGATTTTTACATCCCAAATAGGCCAAAAACAGAGATTGTTTGCGAAATTTGGCAAAATCGTCCGGATTTTAACCAAATTTAGGCCAAGGAAACATAGAGCGCAGGCGTTGACAAACTAAATATTCAAGTCAGATATGTAAAATGTTGTAACAAACATTATGTTAAAAGATCTTTTTTGCCGATGCATGCTCTCTATGGTTCCGGTCTAAAATATAAAAAAAAATTACCCATTTCTATTGAATTTTCATGGAAAATCAAAATGTGTCGTATTTGTGATGTCATGAATAGAAGTAAGTAGGTAAATTTTCAACAAAAAGACATATTTCCTGTCTAGTCATTGTTTTAGCTATGATTTATTGTGATATTGGTCAATAAATCATAATTTGAAATTATAGCTAGAAAAAGGGGCCACTTTAACGTATATTTGTTCAGCCTAACAAAAGTTACCCTGGAACCTTTGTTATAAACAATGCCATATTATTTGTTCCAGTTGGAACAAATATTCTATACCCTTTATTCTGTTAGGAACAAGTACTGTAATATTGGTTTCAGTGGAAATAATATCACTAAATATTTCTTCCGCTTGGAACTTACATGTATATTACGAAGGAACTTCTGTTAGTAAAATTTATTCATCAAAATCTAGGTATGGTAAATTCAATACATTTTCATAAACTGTGCTTTACAGTACAATATGTCCAGAAGAAAATCTTTTAAAACTCTTCCTGCAAACTCCTGAGATGAACTGCTGGTAAAAGTTCATATGAGTTAAGTTGTAATTGTGATACTTATATAAAAATAAGGAGATGAGTTATGATATAAAAATAAGGAGATGAGTTACGATATAAAAATAAGGAGATGAGTTATGATATAAAAATAAGGAGATGAGTTATGATTGCCAATGAGACAACTATCCACCAAAGTTCAAATAATGTGGATGTAAGCAATTGTAGGCAACCATACAATGAGAAAAACCCATACCCTATAGTCGGCTATAAAAGGCCCCGACATGAAGAATATGAAACAATTCAATTGAGAAAACTAACAGCCTAATTTATTACTATATATATAAATGTATTGTGAAGCCATTTATTTGATTCTATTGAAAATAAGTGATACATGTAGATAAAACACTTTTATACGACCCCAAAAAATTTGCGGCCATATAATGGTATGATGATGTTGTCGTCATTGTCCAAAGACATTTGGTTTCCAGACAATACATGTAACTTGAGTATAAGTGAATGGATCTCTATAATATTGTACCACAAGGTTCCATACCGCAAAAAGAAGGTTGGGATTGATTTTGGGGGTTATTGCTCAAACCGTTTAGGAATTAGGGGCCAAAAAAAAAGGATTTTCTGGTTTCCGGACAATAACTTGTGTATATAAGTCTATGGATCTCTATGAAATTGTACCACAAGGTTCCATACCAAAAAAGGAAGATGGTTATTGATTTTAGAGGTTATGGTCTCAATTGATTAGGAATAAGTGGCCAAAAACAATACTTTTTTAATACTTTGTACATGTATAAATTGCTTATAAAGGACAAGGTTCACTTTAGGCCAAATATGGCCTTGAATTTCAACTTTATCATAAAATTTCAAAATGGCCATAATTTGGTTCTTAAATAAATCTATTTCAAAAGCCTTACTTGTTTGTTAAAATAAATCTCTTCATTAGAAATAAACAGATACATGTAAACTTACTTTTAGAATAATACTTGCCTCAACTGTTGAATGCATATCTACTATACTTACCATGTTTATAATGGGAATAAGTTGTACATTGTATTACAGCAAGGTTTGACTAGTGCTTTTAGGTCACATTTGATTATTTGTTCTCCATGTTTTAATACATCTGTGGCATTCCAAACATTTTTGCTCTAGGCATTCCTAATGGAGAAGGATAATTGGGAACTCACACTAAAAGCAGAAAATTTAATATTTTTTACTTTTAAATATATGTTTATCAATAGAAAGTCTTTGGAATTTCCCATGAATTTTCCTAAAAATGTTTCACATCTATTAGTGTATACATTTATATATTCACAAGAATGTTGTTATATTTACAGCTGCACAGTTCACTTTCAATAGAGGAGAAAGAAATGTAAACTTGGCATCTTATGTGGAAGAAGGAATTCCTGAAGAGGATGAAGAAGAGAGTGATGAGGACACTGTTCTCAATCATTCTACAGGAACGCCTAAGTTACAGTTAAATGAAACAGACCAAGGTAAGGTGTATAAAGTGTGAAAAAGTTATATAAAGTAATCCCTGAATCAAAAGTATAGCTAAATCTCAATCAAAGCTTTGCACAAGGGAGTAAACAATACTTAATTTTAAAGGATTTTCAACTGAATGTTCTATTTGCCATAGGAATTGCTTTTAACTGATCATAAAATGGCGTATTATAAATACTATTCTGATTTAGTTCTAAGAAGAACACTTTTGCTCTTGAGTTGGACACCATGACAAAAAACTGAACGGGAAATGATGACATCTTTAACATACATGTAATATAATGTAAGACATTGATATATCTAAATAAAACTTAACTTTAACGATTTGTAGTTGGAAGAAACTAATCTCAACTTTTAACTCCATTGATACCAGCTGTTCCACTTGAGAGCATCAAAACAGCTAAAATCAACATGGAAAATAAGAAGTTTTCATAAAAAAAATAAATATCATATCATTGTGCAACGTTATATGAGTACACATCACCAAATTTGAAAATGATGTCACTGCCAACATCCAAATATATGTATTTGTTTTAAGAATATTTGACTAACTAGAAAATTATTATTTATTATGCATTCATTTTAAAAAATTTCATTGTCAAGTTTTCACTCAAAATTGTCAATAAGCTCAAAGTTTCTGCAATCTTTGTTGGCCCCCGTGCAACGCGTTGTGGGGGACATAGAAAAACCAGGCGTCCATCCATCTGTGCGTCCATCCATCCGTCTTGTTAGTGCTCTCACATGTACAATTCTTGCCAGATTTTTATAAAACTTATATCATAGGTTTATATCATCAATGTCTCGCACGAGATCGAAAATAAGTGCCGATGAACTATTTTAAAAAGAGTTATGCCCCTTGGAAACACATTATATGAAAAATTGCATTGTTAGCGCTCTCATGTGTACAATTTTTGCATGATTTTTATCAAATTCATATCGAAGGTTAATATCAGCAATGTCATAGAAAACTGGGCATCCGTCCGTCTGTGCGTCCGTCCATCCGATCTTGTTAGCGCTCTCACATGTACAATTCTTGCCAAATTTTTATAAAACTTATATCATAGGTTTATATCATCAGTGTTTTGGAGGAGTTTGAAAATCAGTGCCGATGAACTATTTTTAAAGAGTTATGTCCCTTGGAAACATTAATAATTTGGAAAATTGCTTCGTTAGCGCTCTCACATGTACAATTCTTGCCTGATTTATTTGAAACTTATATCATAGGTGTATATCAGCAATGTCTCAGACAAGTTCAAAAATCAGTGCTGATGAACTTTTTTTAAAAGAGTTATACCCCTTGGAAACACTAATTATATGGAAAATTGCATTGTTAGCGCTCTCATGTGTACAATTTTTATCAAATTCATATCGAAGGTTAATATCAGCAATGTCACGGACAGTTTTGAAAATAATTGCTGATCAAATATTTTAAATGAGTTATGCCCCTTAGATATATTAAATATTTCAGAAATGTCTCAAGTCTTCAACTCTCTAAGATAATTTAAAAAAGTTTTAAAAAACAAAAAGCAAAATTTATTAATTTTGGACAGATAAAATATGTGCATACAGGGGACGTTGGAACTCTGTTCTTTTATTTAAGTCACATTTATTTATTTTTCAGCCAAGTTAAACTCTTGCCTGGATGAAGTAAGAAATGTCTTGGGGGAATCCTGTCCTGAATATATCATGGCTCAGACCATAGTCAAACATAACTACAACATACAATCTACGCTGAATGAATTACTTAACCAAACAGGAACAGGCAAGTGTAATAATTACAACATAAAATCTACACTGTTAATAACTGAATTAAACAGTCAAGTGTGATAACTAAAACATAAAATCTACACTGATTACTGAACCAAACATGCAAGTGGTATAACTTCAACATAAAATCTACACTGATTACTGAATCAAACATGCAAGTGGTATAACTTCAACATAAAATCTACACTGATTACTGAATCAAACATGCAAGTGGTATAACGTCAACATAAAATCTACACTAATTACTAAATCAAACATGCAAGTGGTATAACTTCAACATAAAATCTACACTGATTACTGAATCAAACATGCAAGTGGTATAACTTCAACATAAAATCTACACTGATAATAACTGAGTCAAACAGGCAAGTTGAATTGACTTCAATTAAAAACTACACATAAAAGATTGCCAAGTTTAACTACAATATTTTAATACACAGTAATAATAAAGTAGGAAAGCTTAAATTACTACAACATACAATCTTCACTGAATGAATTACAGAACCTAACTGGGACAATGAAATACCTACAACATACAATCCACACTGAAAAATCTGTGCTGAATAAAATTTAATTATCAAAACATTCAATTGTATTTCACCTTGAATGTACCCAGGTACTAGGATCCGGAAATTTTTCCAGACAATTTCGGTCATTTTGAGATGTTTGAAAAGTTGGTGCCCCTTTTCAAATTGTCAATATCAACTTGACTATATTCATAGCATCAACGAACATGGCGAACTTGTATTGCTGTTTCATCGCATTTACTAAGTAAATGTCTTACCATTACCATGAAGGACAGTTTAGGGAAGGCAACAGTCTAAAATTAAAATGATTTTAATGACTCAAAATGGTTAATTTCTCAGACATTGCTTACGTTTCTTTCGATTTGACAAAAGTTAAAACCGGAAGTTTGCGATATTTTAATGTACGAATAATTCCGGATTCATTTCCGGGATTTGTTTTGTTTATCAAATTGACAGGAAATCACCGGCTTTTTATGGCTTTTTTATTTTATTACCTTTAAAAGTGTTTGAATATAACAGATAATAGTTGCACTCGTTTAATTTAGCATGAAATCAATTTGCATTTTACGATTAAATATTAAATTTGCTGAAGACAATTTCACGCATGCGTATTACATAGTAAATAAAGCACATGTGTTACTCATGAAAAAATACTTTTTTCTACGTAAATTTAGATTTAATTTATAAATCAGAATTGATGACTGTCTTTGATGAAAAGTAAATAAATAATGAATACACTTGTCAGGGAACTTTAATGTTTTAAAGATATTATTCTGAGCTTGTAATCATGCACTGTCAGGTGTGAATTAAAACCACAGGTAAAAAGTGATTAGCGATCATGAGCCAATGTTTCCCGGAGGCATTGATATAGATATTAGGAGGGCCCTCAGGATTATCAAACTACTGTAGTGGCAGTTTTATTACAGGAAAGGGATTATAAACAAAAACAAGTGATCACAAGTGCAAAATGTCGACTAAGAAATCCGATTTCAAACATTGAGTCAATGAAATGACCGAAATTACTTCTGTAAAAAATAAAATTTGTCCTAAATCCCAATTACTCGTTTAGGACAAATACTTTCATCTTAGGACATGACTGGCAAATATGACCGTTTCCGGACCCTTGCCCAGGTATTATTAAAATAAACTTTTAACATAAAACCTTCTGGTTTATATATTAATGGTATTAGCATAGATGAAAGTAGGCAAGGCATCTGTGTCATATAGGTACATACAGTTTATATATCTTATGTGTAATACAATATCGACAAATGTTATTAGTATATTTGCTGTATTATTTAAAAAGTTGATATGTTTATTAGCAATTATCTATTTCACATGCAGGGCTCACGCTACCTTGCAACTGGGGCGACAAAGTCGCATTCCTGTCCGTCACTTTGCTTTGCCCGACCGTCAAAAGCGAAATCTAGTCGCCACATGTACACAAATCAGCATCTCACAAATAGGATTGAACAAGATTTCTTTATTTTTCTTCAGATGCACCAAAGCCACAGAGACAGCCTCGAGAATCACGAAGGAACAGATCACAAGGTATGCATCTAATATACTTCAAATTGGTAATATAATTGTGATAATTTGAACTACAGTTTGAGACTATATAAGCATGACATAGGTATTCATTGCATTTATTATACCCCTGCTTTAAAAAAGTGGGGGTATACTGTTTTACCTCTGTCTGTCCGTCAGTCCGTCCAGCTATTTTTAGTCACATCTTTCTCAGGAACTACATCATAAGGATTTCTGAAATTTGGTTTCAGGGTTAATATAAGTCAGCTATACTGTGTGATGTGTTTTCAGATTCATCACTCAACAACTTCCTGGGTGGGCGGGGGGTATCATCAGTGAGCAGTAGCTCGCAGTTTCACCTGTTTATTCTGTATAAATATTAGATATTAATCAACAAACAACCAATCATTCTGTCAACCTATGGGGAGAGTACTATGTATCTTTTACATTAGAATGTCTCTTAGACATTGATGTTTCTTTAGTCTCAATTTGATGTATACATTTAATAAAAAAAAAACATTTTTTGTTTATAAAAATTTGATTTCATTTTGAGTCTGTACAGTTTCAATTAAGAAGCTTTAATAAGAGGTATTTAGATGCATGTAGATAATGAATGAGGATCTTACATACCTTTTTAAGGGATAAGAATAACTGATATTTGTTAGTGCCAAAGTTTGATGAAAAATATCAGTAATTATATATTATTAATGGTTCATCAAATGAGTGGGAGTTTCTCAGCTACAATCTCATCGAAGTGCAATAGCCCTGAGTTTGAAAGACCATTGATATAAAAATAAGGAGATGAGTTATGATTGCTAATGAGACAACTATCCACCAAAGTTCAAATAAAGTGGATGTAAGCAATTTCATAATCTGTTTATTGCTATTTTCATTAGCAATGTCAATGTTGTTGGCTTATGACTTCATACAGTCTTTTTCTACTCTAATGACATGACTGTGCAAAACACATAACACGAGAGTAGCAAGAGTTTGAAAATAATCATTCAGAAAGATCAAATGAAAATTTGAGAACATAGCGATAACTATGAATAGAACAGAAACTCATATTCATTGTATGTAATGCAGAATTCCACTACTATATTTGTTGCCTAACATCATGCCTTTTCTTTCTTTTTCATTTCTTCCTGTTCCTGCATGGTGAACCTTTGATGTAACTCTACTTCTGATTGGTCAATATAAATTTTTGATATCAACATATGTGATTGGATTAAAATTGGCATCTGTAAGGTAAGGAGATTATGATGATGATTTTGATGATTTTTTACAATCCCTTGATACTAATTCCCCTAAAATTAATTTCTCTCATAACTTAAAACAGTCCTTAGGGATACTGAAATATGGCAGTAGCTGGTCTTCTGAGGGGTCATTAGAAAATATTTCAAATATTGCATTAAAAGCTAAAATTACGAATTATTCCTCAGCCGGTTCATCAGAATGTCTTTCCACAACACCTGATGGTCATGAATCAGGAATTAGAAAAAGGGACAAATATCCATCAACAGGGTCTTCTGATTGTTTGTCATGTACACCTGATGAGCCATCAGTTATAGAGCTAGCCAATCAGAATCCATTATCTACTAATTTACAGTCATCTGTGTCAAAAGTAACCAACCAAACAACAGTTTCTACAAAAGAATTAGCTAAGCAAAATATTTCTTCCAGAATGCAGTTAACATTATCAGAATTAACAGGCCAGAATGTAAAGTGCATAGGGCAGCCATCTTTATCAGAGTTAGCCAAACAGAAATCATCATACAGTCAGCAGGCATCCCTATCACAGTTGGCAAAGCAAAATACATCTTTATCTCAACTAGCTTCTCAAAACTTATCGTTAAAGCAACCATCTTTATCTCAATTGGCCAACCAGAAAACATCTACTAAGCAACCATCCTTATCTGAGATAGCTGAACCAAATTTATCAAAGAAATTATCATTATCAGAGTTGACCAATCAGAATGCATCATCAATACAGCAGCCATCAGTGTCTAAGTTGACCAGTCAGAATACACCATCCTTCAAACAGCCATCTTTGTCTACATTGGCTAGTCAGAAAGAAACATCAAATTTGAGCAAAGTAAATAAAACAGATAACCAGTACCATGTGACTGAGTTGGAGGGTAAATTATCTGGTGTTGAAATAGGTCAAAATACCTTAAAAGGCAAGTTAACTGATTTGACCAAAATGCATTCTTCTGGTTCAGGGAAGCAATTTTCATTAGCAGAATTAGCTAAGGATTCTTCTGTCCAAGTAAGGCAACCTTCTTTAGCAAATCTGACTAATTCCAAGTCTATAGGGGTGTCAAGACAACCATCTTTGGCAGAATTAGCTAGTTCTCAGTCTACAGCAACATTGAAACAACCATCTTTGGCAGAATTGGCTAGTCCTCAGTTTACAGGAACGCCGAAACAACCATCTTTGGCAGAATTGGCCAATCTAAAACCTAATACAGCTAAACAACTTTCATTGTCAGATTTAGCTTTACCAGTAAAACAACTTCCAAGCAAACCCTTAATTCAGTCTTCAGATCAACCAGGAACACATGTCAATTCCTCATCAAAATCTACAGATAGTCAGAACTCAGGGAAAAATATAACATCACTGGCAGCTATGTCAAAACCAGCACGATCATCATCTAATGAAGTAAAACCTAGTCAAGGAGATAATTTAGTATACAATTTGGGTGGTTTAAAAATATCTGATCTGAATAAGGAGTCCAATATTTCACTTACTGATTTGGCTGGGAAGAAAATTGTCAAATCTTGCCCAAAAGTTACTCAACCTGTTAAAAAAGAGAAGAAACAATTTCTTGCACAAGAATCAGTTGAAGGTCATGACCTTGAAGTGCCACTTCCAACCTTTTCTGAAGAGACTGTTTATGATGTTCAATGTGACTTTGTGAAGTTTCAGGCATCATTTCTTGGACAGGTTTTATGTCTTTATGATTGTAATTATAAGTTAAATAAGAAACGGAAATACAGTCAATTTTCTTATATTCATCAAATGAAGTATATTAAGAGGTCATGTGACATAATGAATGAGATTATACCATTTGATTTTACTACTCCATCACCTGATGATATTGTTAGATCTAAACAGAAAGCAGCATTTACTAGAACTGGTGAGAAAAAGTGAACATCATGTGTTAATACAGACACGATTATTTCAGATAGATATTGTCTGAATAGTAGAGGTAGACAGAATAAAAAGTTTTAACAGAAAGAACAACATTTACTACAACTGATGAGAAAAAATAAACATCCTGCGTTTAAAGAGAGAGATACAAGACAGATATTTTGATAGAATAGTAGAGGTAGACAGAATGAGAGTGAATGTTCTTGTACTATAACTCAAGGAAAATAAACTGATTTTGGTGAATCTGTGTGTGTCATGCTGATATTGAAAGATTTCACATTTGCTTAAACTGGTTTGAAATAAAAGAGAATTTTTTTGTCTGAACATTGGAAGAGAGGAATTTATGTGAATTAACATCCAGTGAAAAAGTGCTATAATAATCTTTATGTGCAGCTGTCAGTAGGATGATCTCAAAAGGAAAACAATAATTTTAGCAAGTTTGGAAATCATGGAATATGTCAAAGATATTTAATTTTTATTTTTATTTACACAAGCTTTTGAAACGTGTAATAATTAACAGCATTTAAAAAAATCATGTTTGAATGTTTTCATTCTACGATATGACTACTGTGTAAAATCAAGTAATTTCCTTGTGCAGGACAATTTTCATAGTTATGGGAGAATATAGGGATTTGTTTGGTCTTGAATTTGTTGGCTGTACCTGCACTGGCAACAAGTGAACTAAGAAGGTTTTTTTTTTATAGTTGTAAATTGAAAGATAACATTTCCTTAGGAAAATCCAAGGAAATTTGCATATTTGTACTACACACAAAATTTTTGTATATTTATTTTTGGCACACACAGAATCAGTCATAAAGTACTAAATTGTTCTTCTGTAAATTTTCTGATACGTGAATGTGTTTAATATTTATTAATGGTATTGCATATATTTGTTCAATAAAGAATGTTGATAAGGAATTATTATAGAAATGATATTACTTTTGGAAAACTCTATTGTCAAAATGAATGGCAGTAATTCAGGGGACCACCTTTAAAAGAAATGATATAAAAATGGAGCTCTGCAAATGAATAACATACAATTTAGACTTTTGTTGAAGCCAGTATATTGACCTGTAACTATTAGGTTTTATGTTGCTGTAAGTTGGCATATACTTATCATCAATAAATGTAGTGATGTACAAATGATTAACATTTAGAAAAGACCTTTGCCACAACAATTGTTGATTGTACATTTTATTCCTGTATCTGACTTGCTTAAATTTAAAGAATTATTTCAATTGAATACTAATAAGTAAGGTATAAGTTTCTACACATGTTTCCTATAGAATATGCCTTTGTATTTATTAACGTTTTTTTAATTATGTATTATTGTTTATTATTTGATTATTGTATATATATAGTAGTATTTTTCATGTTTGATCTCAGCTGCTAGAACAAAATTTTCTCTTCCAATTTTTGCACAGGATATGTTATGTAAGCAATATTTAATTTTAAGTGCTTCAATGTGTAATATATTACATGTTTCATTTTCAGTTTCTTTCTAAGGTTTATTATCTCAATAGCATAATACTCGCAACATCACCATGACTAAATTTTCTTTTCCAACCTAATACAACCTTATCCAATAGATATAAATTCAGCATATCCTTAACTTTCACAGACACTTATGTTAATTCTTGATGAAATGGTAAGCGGTATACAATTCTGAAAAATTAAAAAAAATTTCAATCCCTTTTACCTATATAACAAATTTAACATGAAGGTACAGTGGCTTGTTCCATGTCACATAACCCTCCCCAATCCTTACATGTAGTTACTTGAATCTTAGCAGCATGTCTAGAGGTGGATTTAGAGGGGCAGGTCCCCCCTTATGGAGCTTCATTTATGGTTAATCCAGACTTTTTACCGTAGACACTACAAATTTTGTCTAGCTTGTCAAAATTCCAAAATCCTGAATCCGCATCTGATGTCATTATGCAGTAGTAAACTTGACTATATGAAAACAGAATTACAGTTTTACTCTTCTGACAGGAAGAAAATGTGGATTAATGTGAGAAAAGGATTTTTAATAAAACATATATATGAATTATAATCACAACTAAAGTATTGTAGTTGGGTAGGTTGTTGGACCATATTTACTATCAAACAGAAAAAATCAGGAAAATTTTCAGGTATATAGAAAAGTGTTTATCATTTCTGGAACTTTAACATCTCTACCCTATCCACATAGAAAATCATGCTAAGATTGATGGAGTTTTTGAAATTTATTATTCATTATTTGACTCAATGCTTGATATTTATAAATAATAATATGACTCAGTATCATCTATAAGAGTTTCACTGACTCTGACGGTAACATTACTTTTGATTCTTTTTACACTGCTGGAAATACTGAAAATACGATATTACAGTAGGTTAACTTTTCCTCTGACATTTTTACACTGTCGAGAATGCCGAATATATTATAGTGGGAAGCATGCAGTCTTTGTGCTTAGTTGCTGTTTTTATCTAAGATATACATTCCTTAAGTTAACTTTTCATTCATTTAAATTCAGTGGGATCTTGTCATGTTATAATTATGTGCAATATGACACTGTATGCAATATTAAGTTTACAAATGTAATTTGTAACAAAACTTTGTATAGTTTGTTTGAACAATGATCATGTAATTAAATGCAGCTGTTGAAATTAATTGTGATGAGTAATTCAACTGTAAGTTGTAGTTGATTCTCTTAGGGGGTTTTTGATTCAAAATCAGTTTGAAAATGACCCACTTTGCTCAATCATGTCAATACTGTGGATTCATTTATTTTTGTGAGTACCAATTTTTGTGGATTGAGGGAAATTCGAATGTATTTTAGTGGATATTTGATTTCATGGTTTTGTCGAAGTCGGCATTACAAGTCTATAAAAAATTCATACTTTGTTAAACATTTGAATTCATGGTTTACTTTTGCTCACAAAAATGGTATCCCACGATTAAAACAATGAATCCACAGTTTACTAATATTTGATGGTAAATTTTAGACAGAGGTAGGAAATTCTTTTTGTTTAGAGTTAACAACAACAAATAAAGAAATATATCAATGCTATCATATTAAATTGTGTACAAATGTTTCTTTGACTAGACAAAACTAAACTTAAATTTGCAATATACTTTTCAAAGTAAATACAGTGATATAATGTATCAGAGACATATATATTGTATATGTCTCTGAATGTATGTTAAATAGATATTAAGGTAAATACATAGTTTTCCAAAAAATTATATACCTATTAAGTAGCATAGAAATTTTGTACAATTTTGTAAAAGCTCACATAAATTTAATGCCCCCCACCTTCATGATTATTTATATTTATATGTATTAACAAATATGATATTGTTATGTAGATTTTTGTATTTTTTGAATATTTTTCCAATGGTTAATAAATTTTTATGGTGTTGAATGTACTGTCTTCTATAAAAGCACACACATGCACACACGTTTATGTACACAATTGCAAATAAACTGCAAAGACGTCAGTGATCTGAACTTGAGATACCACATAAATGTTTTGAACAAAATGTTTTGTTAACAATACATATATGAATACTGAAGAGAAGAAAAAACACACAAAGTTAACAATATCTCAGTTAGCTAAAAATAAAGTGAATGGTAGACAACGAAACAGTACTGTCCTGATTGTCAGATTTGATATGGACAGTGAATTATTAATAAATTTGAAATAAACAAGTTTAGATGAGTAATGTAATATCTCATCACCCTTTACTTAATTATCACAAAGAATGTCAAGAAGAAGTTCACCTATGCTTGTGTCAATCATTATGTTAAAAACCTTGTTTAAAGTGCTCTTTGTGATAGGCATGTATCCTTCCCAATTTTCAGGGTTCCCTGTGATGGCCATGAATCATTCTGATTTATAAGGGACCCCTTAGATAGGCATGAATCATTCCAAGTTATCAGGGTTTCCTTTGAAAGACATGAATCATTCCTAGTTATCAGGGTTCCCTTCAAAAGACATGAATCATTCCTAGTTATCAGGGTTTCCTTTGAAAGGCATGAATCATTCCCAGTTATCAGAGTTCTCTTTGATAGGCCTGAATCATTCCAAGTTATCAGTGTTCAATTTGATAGGCCTGAATCATTCCCAGTTATCAGGATTCTCTTTGATAGACATGAATCATTCCCAGTTATCAGGGTTCTCTTTGATAGACATAAATCATTCTCAGTTATCAGGGTTCCCTTCGATATACATGAATCATTCCCAGTTATCAGGGTTCTCTTTGATAGGCCTGAATCATTTCCAGTAAACAGGGTTCCCTTTTATAGGCATTCACTTTGATAGACCAGAATCATTCCCAGTGAACAGGGTTCCCTTTGATAGGCATGAATGATTCCTAGTTATCAAGGTTCCCTTTGATAGGCATTCACTTGGATAGACATGAATCATTCCTAGTTAACAGGGTTCTCTTTGATTGGCCTGAATCATTTCCAGTAAACAGGGTTCCCTTTTATAGGCATTCACTTTGATAGACCAGAATCATTCCCAGTGAACAGGGTTCCCTTTGATAGGCATGAATGATTCCTAGTTATCAAGGTTCCCTTTGATAGGCATTCACTTGGATAGACATGAATCATTCCCAGTAATCAGGGTTTCCTTTGATAAGCATGAATCATTCCCAGTTATCAGGGTTCCCTTTGATAAGCATGAATCATTCCTAGTTATCGTGGTTTCCTTTGAAAGACACAAATCATTTCCAGTTATCAGGGTTCCCTTTGAAAGGCATGAATCATTCCCAGTTATCAGGGTTCCCTTTGAAAGGCATGCATTATTCCTAGTTAAGTCTCCCAAACGAAGTTTGGGAAGACTTATTGTTTTTGCTCAGTTCTTATTATTATTATTATTCTTCTTCTTCTTCCGCCGCTTTTAAATTTGAACTTGTCCGCACCCGTTCTCCAAAACCGCTTGTCAGATTAACGTAGGGTTTCACAATATGTTAGACTAACATGTCTAGTGGTGCAATCAGGGTTTTGTTTGTGCAATGGGGTTTATAAAGGGGTACTTTGAGGGGCAAGAAGAAAAGAGGGTTTTACTATAGAACCCTATGGGATTTTATTTTTTAAAATTTTCAAATGATTATAAATTGAAAACCGTTTGTAATAGACACAATCTTTTTAATTGAAAATGTTCTAAATGATAAAGCCCATTAAATGAAATACAGCGTTAGTCCCCAGGGGTCACCCCCACCCCCTGCCATTTAAGAAAGTTCTAATACCTTGTAAGTGGTCAAGATCCCCACCCTAAACCATATATATTTTGGTTTGTTATGCTAAGATGGTTTGAATGATATACAGGATTAGTCCCCAGGGGTCATCCCGACCTCCTGCCTTTTGAGAAAGTTCTAATATCTTGTAAATGGTCGAGATCCCCACCCCTAAACCATATATATTCTGGTTTGTCATGATAAGCACATCAAATGTAATACAGGGTTAGTCCCCAGGGGTCACCCCCACCCCCTGCCATTTAAGAAAGTTTTAATATCTTCTAAGTGGTCAAGATCCCCACCCCTAAACCATATATATTCTGGTTTGTCATGCTAAGATGGTTTGAATGATATACAGGGTTAGTCCCCAGGGGTCATCCCGACCCCCTGCCATTTGAGAAAGTTCTAATATCTTGTAAATGGTCGAGATCCCCACCCCTAAACCATATATATTCTGGTTTGTCATGATAAAGCACATCAAATGAAATACAGGGTTAGTCACCAGGGGTCACCCCCACCCCCTGCCATTTAAGAAAGTTCTAATATCTTGTAAGTGGTCAAGATCCCCACCCCTAAACCATATTTATTCTGGTTTGTCATGCTAAGATGGTTTGAATGATATACAGGGTTAGTCCCCAGGCGTCATCCCTACCCCCTGCCATTTGAGAAGGTTCTAATATCTGTAAATGGTCGAGATCCCCACCCTAAACCATATATATTCTGGTTTGTCATGTTAAGCACATCAAATGAAATACAGGGTTAGTCCCCAGGGGTCACCCCCACCCCCTGCCATTTAAGAAAGTTCTAATATCTTGTAAATGGTCAAGATCCCCACCCCTAAACCATATATATTCTGGTTTGTCATGCTAAGATGGTTTGAATGATATACATCCTGACCCCCTGCCATTTGAGAAAGTTCTAATATCTTGTAAATGGTCGAATTCCCCACCCCTAAACCTTATATATTCTGGTTTGCCATGATAAAGCACATCAAATGAAATACAGGGTTAGTCCCCAGGGGTCACCCCCACCCCCTGCCATTTAAGAAAGTTCTAATATCTTGTAAATGGTTGAGATCCCCACCCCTAAACCATATTTATTCCTGTTTGTCATGTAATGAACATTTGAATGACGTATAGGGCCAGTCCCCAGGGGTTCCTCCCCACCCCCAATGTTCTAGTATCTTGTAAATGGTCGAGATCCCCACCCCTAAACCATATATATTCTGGTTTGTCATGCCAAGATGATTTGAATGATATACAAGGTTAGTCCCCAGGCATCACTAATGCATATAACTTTACTGGACCACACCAATTTTCACTGGACGTTGCCCAATGTCAGGCGACCCTGGGAATTACGAATTATGGGAGCTTCGTTTGGGAGACTTCGTAACAGCATCCTGTTACAATCATTTCTTGTTATCAGTGTTCTCTTTGATAGACAATAATCATTCCCTGTTATTACAGACATCTTCTCATTTCCTGTTATTAGCTCACCTGGCCTGAAAGGCCAAGTGAGCTTTTCTCATCACTTGGCGTCTGTCATCCGTCATCCATCGTCCGTTAACTTTTACAAAAATCTTCTCTGAAACTACTGGGCCAAATTTAACCAAACTTGGCCACAATCTTTATTGGGGAATCTAGTTTAAAAAATGTGTCCGACGACCCCGCCTGCCAACCAACATGGCTTATATCTCTGAAACTAAAGCAAAAGTATAATGGTTGCATTATTTCATGCATCAATTGTAAACAAAAAAATCAGATGAGCGATACAGGCTCCTTGGAGCCATTAGTTATCTTACATGGTTCTATGAGTGAGCTTTTTCCATTATATTGAGTTCTCTTCCATAAGCATGAATCATTCCCAGTTAACAGGGTTCCCTTTGATAAGCATGAATCATTCCCAGTAATCAGGGTTTCCTTTGATAGACATGAACTATTCCCAGTTAACAGGATTCTCTTTGATAGGCATGAACCATTCCCAGTTAACAGGGTTCCCTTTTATAGGCCTTCACTATGATAGACCTGAATCATTCCCAGTTAACAGGTTCCTTTTGATAGGCCTGAATCATTCCTAGTTATCAGGATTCTCTTTGATAGGCCTGAATCATTCCTAGTAATCGGGTTTCTCTTAGATAGGCATGAATCATTCCCAGTTATCAGGATTCTCTTTGATAGACCTGAATCATTCCTAGTAATCATGGTTCTCTTTGATAGACCTGAATCATTCCTAGTAATCATGGTTCTCTTTGATAGACCTGAATCATTCCTAGTAATCATGGTTCTCTTTGATAGGCATGAATTATTCCCAGTAATCAGGGATCTTTTTGATAGGCATGAATCATTCCCGGTTAAGAGGGTTCACTTTAATAGACCTGATTCATTCCTAGTTATCACGGTTTCCTTTGAAAAGCATGAATCATTCCCATTTACCAGGGTTCCCTTTGAAAGGCATGAATCATTCCTAGTTATCAGGGTTTCCTTTGAAATACATGAATCATTCCCAGTTAAAGGGATGTCTTTGATTGGCATGAATCATTCTTAGTTATCAGTGTTCTCTTTGATAGACATTAATCATTCCCTGTTATTATGGACATCTTCTATAGGCATGACTCATTTCCAGTTATTATCTTACATAGTTCTACGAGTGAGCTTTTTCCACTATATTGAGTCTGTCATCTGTTATCCATATCCATTCTTAAAAAATATTATGCTTTGAAACCCCTCAACTGAAAGGAACAAAAGTTTGTCTGCTTCATTAATAGGATATCTTCTACGAAGTTTGTGATTTTCAACCAGGTAAATCAACCAACATGGTCTTTGTGGGTAAAAATATAAAATTGGGCTCAAACTGCAGTTTATTGCTGATACCTCAAATACAATCTATCACATTTTCAGAGAAACCAAGAAGATGAAACATGGTCAGCAGAACAAGCTCTTGCTACCTTCAAAATGTTAAAGAAAAATCTTGATTTTTTTTACTTTTTGGCAGTTCTTTGCTGCTGTCTTGAAAACTATAGGAGCTAAGTTAAAAGTGGTAAATTGCAAAAATGATCTGCACAAAAAGATCTATATACTACCCAAAAAAATCAGAAAAATTGACAATTGCTTATGGAGTAATTGCTAAATTGTTAGTTTTTATTGATTTTTAGATTTCTTTCACTGTTATCTTAAAAAGTACA